CCTTTAAGAGTAAAGAGCTGAACATTTCAGAAACTATTAGCCTGCAAAGCAGGCATATTTTGTAGTGAGAGTTGGGGTGAGTAAAAAAAAATAATTTCAAGGAAGAAGTTGGCAGCTGTGATAAACGTATCTCTGAGCTTTTGTTACTTAACTTAATTGTATATACCATTAAAAAAATCAATGCCAGCTAATATAATACTGTCTCAAAATTGACACCCCTAGATGGTAAATATAACATTTGTCCATGCCGATGAAATAAGATTCTGGAGTGTTGATGAAAAATTTCCAGTGGATATGGACATCATACTTAGAGGTGAGCGGCTCCTTCAAACATGTATTTTCCTCTCTACTGACTGTTTTACCTGGCCTGTTAATTGACCATAACTTGTAACATAGGAACACCAGAACCCTAGTTGAATGATCATGTGCTTGGAATGTTTTACTCACTGCCCTTGAGACTTACAAGTAACCTACAGCCTCTCTATGGGTATGTATGGATGTTCTTTTCATTGGCCATATTTTTATCAAGAATAAGTCTAGTGCAAAACAATTATTGTTTTGCACTAGACGCATGGTAACACTCCCCTAACCTGAGATCAGGCTCTATTTTCATGGGGAAATGAAATGAGCAGCCATGACAATGACAACACAAGCAATTAAATAAAAAAAAGCCATAGGTCTACTAAGCAAAACAAAAAATCTGAATGTGCACACTATTTGATGGATTTCTTTGCCGCCACTGTATGACTATGCTGTCAAACATGATCGGAATGGCAACGTAATGGTCACTTTAATTTGTACGATAGTTGCTTCATCAATAGCAAACATTGCTACTTTGAATTTGTTCTTAACCTTGATTCACTTGCAGCTGCAGGTTCAGACATTAACTTTACATCACAGTTACATATTTTTTGTCATGTTCCCTCTTGTGTTTAAATTAAGTTTATAACCTGTGTTTGGCTTTTAAAATTTCTCTATATAAAGTTGAAGCATTTCCCCTTACCTTGAAATTTAAGATTCTTGTAGGTAACTGTCTCAACATTAAATCCTATTGCTGCAAAACAAAGAAAATAACACCATTAAGTCATACCAACAATAGCACAAAATACATTGAAATCTGAAACGTTTACTAAATTTTTGCACCAAAACACATTGATCTTTATAACTCAACACGAGTCTTTAATTGAATTTGCTTATCAGTTACCGATAATCGACGCCAAAAATTTGTTAGTTTTCATAATTTTTCTAGCACCTTTGTAGAAAACTAATTAAGTGACTAGAAATTTTGAATAAAAGTTGAATAACCCAACTTAAAATTGATATTCTTGAATACTACTCTTATATTTTATTCTTACTTGGTATCGTTGTAACTACTTCACCCACTTGCAATCTGAAAGGCACAAAAATGATTTGAGTTAGATCGAACTTCAATCCACAAAATGCAAGAACTACTGTAGGCGATGCAACTCACCGGTATAGAATTGTAGTTTTTCCTGCTCCGTCAAGCCCTAAGATAAGAATTCGCAACTCTTTCTGGCCAAACAGCGAAGAAAATAAACTAGAAAAGAAGCTCCCTGCGTAGATAACATAACAATCGCCTGAGAAATAAGTTAAAATTCTAGGATATTAGCACGCAGAAAACAGAAAACATACCCATTTTGAACTCTGCTCTCACGGGTGATTGCGTGGCTCATTGTGACGAAACATATGTCATGTAATTTGTATTGGAAAATACCAAGGGAGTGGGGAAAGTGTTTAGCTTGTTTTGAATCGTTTCAAATACATTTAAGTAATAATAAACATAAAAGAAGAAAAATATTAAGGAAATAAACTCTCTTAATTTTATTTTCGGAAATTATGTTTATTTAACTTGGTCATTGGCCCCATAAAAGGCTGACAGATATAAATGTCCCCTCCCTGGAATGGAGATAGTTGACCGAGGACAGTTTATGACCTTTGTTACAACGTTATGAAAAGTCCGCAGATCAAGTATAGCCAGAAGTGCGGAGACAAGTGTTTACCCACAAGTGCGGCTTTCAAAATGGCGGCGGGAAGGTGTATTTCAATTTTCTTCATTGCTTTGCGTTTTGTGGACGTTAGCTGAACATTGCTAGTATCTATGAAATGGAGGAAGGACAAGTTAACGAAGAAAAGCCAAGCCAGGATGAGTGGCCTTTGGAAAAGGCTGAGGTTGGTGCTAAAGAAATTCTTGTTACTTTTTTTTCTGAAAGTTTGTGGGATCTGTTCCCTAGAGGCTGCAAAGAAAAGGAGTTTGTAATATGATTTAAGGTTTTTGCATTTTTTTGCATGAATTATTGATCATGACTTTAGGACAAGGGTCTTTCGTTGAGTTAATCGTTTCAGAGAGTACAGAGTTTAATTTATATATGTTGTAGTTAATTTTTTATCTCAAGTAATTTTTGTTTTTCTTTTGTTTTTGCGTATGGTAAAGTATGCTAATGAAGTTGTAACAAAAGAAAAATAAAAAAACTTTCCTTAGATAAAAAATTAACTATAACATATAAAATATAAAACATATGTACATTCTAGTGAAGAGTTTGATTACAGTTAAATTACTGAAAATAACAGTCCCTTGTCCATCTAGGAGGGCATCATCATAAGATCCTTTTCAGTGCTGTATATTAATTTTGCAATATAAGCTTAAGTCATTGAAATAATAGTGAGGTCATGTAGTATTCTCCAGAAGTTCCGGAGACCAGGGAAAGTTGCCTCCTAGTTAACGCAGAGGTGTTGGCCACTCACTGAAAATAATTTTAAGTAGGACGATAAAGCCAACGTATTTCATTCTATTTTTGTTCTGGAGGAGGTGGGCCATGCTGGGTTACTCCAGCTTTCAAGTAATGGGAATGATGAAATGGGGGCAAAAATCAAAATCTAAAAAAAAATCCCTTGCGCTTCCAACAGAACCCAAAAAAATCCCTGGACCAAAAATTAAGCCCCAAAAAATCCCATTCAAAATTTCCATATGTAATGTAATGCCTCAAATTTTCCTACCCAAAAAATCTTTCGATCATCCCCGCCACTTGAAATCCTTAGTACCCCCCATAGGTTTTGGTTCCCAACACTTAAGTTCCGTTGATGCACTTGTGGGTAAAAAAGGGTGTCATCCCCATGGCTAAATTTTTTTCCCTGGTTACTCAAAGTGCACTGAATAACACTTTTTAGGAACCCCCAACTAAACATTTTCCCCAGTGGAGGCCCTCAGATTCCACCAGTGAAAGGTGGGTAGCCCTGGCCCTTGCCATCCCCAACTCTACACACAGTTCTGCCACATGAAAGATGCACTTTTCAATCTCATCAGTTGCCAGCTATCTTATGTTTTTCTCCTTCATTGTGTATCAATAGTTTCTGTCTTGTACTTTGAAAAAAAAAAGGACAGCCAACAAGAAGGGGAAATTAAAATTTTACATTTTTGAGGATGAACTGTGATGGTGCATCCAATAACTTGGTAGTAATGCCAGCAGTTGATACTTGTCTTTTGATAAGATTGTTTTCATGCACTTATGCATTAAATTTTAGGTTGCAGTACAGCAACTCTATGAATTTAGAGATCATTACTTTGAACACAATTCCACTGAAAAAGCTTTGTTAAAAAATCAAGAAACCGAGGAAAAGTTAAAGGAGACTTTAAATATTCTGGATTATGTCCAAGGTAAGGAGAACATTGGTTTTTTTATTCTACAGCATCAAATCTTAGCAACCTCATTCCCAGGTTCCCCCTCTTCTTTATCCTGCTCTGTAGGGACAGGTAGGAGAGGACCCTGGGGGTGAGGTTGCAAATCATTATCTTAGGTGATTTTCACAAACTGGATGGGAGTCAATTATGTCAGTGAATTCAAATTCCTTGTGTTCATGTGGCCTTGAAATTTGTAAAGAGGTAGAAGTGGAAGAAAATCTGAATTTCAAGGTCAGTAAAAATTGTTCAGAGCTCAGAGAAACGTTTGGGAATTACAACCAAACCAGGTAAAGTATGCCCTATGAATTCTATTAATGAGTGCATCAATTGAAAATTGAATTCATTAGTCTACCAAACCATGTCTGTTAACATAATATAAATCTAGATTCATGCATGCATAAAAACGTAGTGACTGATTTTATACTACAACTTGTCTGTATTTCATCAAATTGAGAAATCTTTCACACTTTGAATGTATAAAACTCCTGAAGAAGTTCAAAAAGAAAGCTGAGCTGACAGAAATTTTAACTGCCTGATGCATGAATTTACTGCTTATTACATATCCAAAAATAATGAAATGAACCTGATATAAGCAACTGACAGATTCAATTTTCAAATAATGAATTTATCAATAGAATCAATAGGGATATTCATTTCCTAACATGACTGTAATGAGTGGCACGCTGAATAGATGCTAATCTCCAAACTTGAATAAAAAGGGTAAAGTAAATAAAGTATATATTTAGTACATTTTAAAATTAACATGACTTGTAGAAAGTTTTAAGTAAACATATTCAAAGGCTTCATTTAGTTTGCATGGCAGCAGCTAAATCATATGACAAATCATTTCAGCCTGTAGTGAAGAAACAGCAAAGTGTTTGTTTTTGAGAGGAAAAGCTCTGAATGTAATGCCTCACTATGATCCTATGGCTCAAGATGCTCTTTCTAAAGCTGTCAAGATGAATCCTAAACTGGTTGAGGCCTGGAACTGTCTTGGAGAGTGTTACTGGAAGAATGGACAAGTTGAAGCAGCAAGAAACTGTTTTGTTGGAGCACTGAACCATGTAAGTTTATCCTTCAACAAAGAGTTGACTTTAATGAAGAAACATACTAGCCAAAATCACTGAATTGTTAACACCTGAAAAAAAATGGAAAAAAGCAATCATTTTGTATTTTAATTTTCAAAAAGCTTGCGTGACCATCAGTGATTCAAGTAGCTCGCGGTTGAAAAGTTAATTAATGCTCATGAAGAAATATCATGCATAGGAAATCAAAATTATTGGAAAAGATGCTTGGTCACTAATTATTAATGATACGTTTGAAACAGTGTAGGCAGAGTTGTTTCAAAAGAACGCTATCCTTGAAGTTTCAGAGTATTTAAACACACAAACCATCTTTTTTGCATTTCTAAAATGAGGTAATTTAGTCAAAAGACAAAACTGGTTGCTTGATGTGGTCCTCAAGCTATTCAAAATTGCAAAAGCAAACAATCATTTTTTTCGAGGTCCTACTAGGCTAGTGATTTTGGTAGTACACAATGTATTAGGGCTAGAATTTGAGTTACTGGACCTTTTATAATCATTTGATCACGCTTGGTTTCCACTTGTACAGATTAACCCTTTGAGAGTGAATCAGTTAATTTTTTACCTGTAAAAAGTTTCGCTTGAATCTACTGTATGAAAGTTATGAATATGAATGCATTTTTGTTTGATATAATTGACATTATGATGAACTCAGTATAGATCCAGCTCTTTGAAAGGAACATCTATTTCTTCCTTCAGGCAAAGAATAAGGTGTCTTTAAGGAATTTATCAATGGTCTTGCGGCAAATCGGGAAAGGTAATAAATTATCGTAATTTCCAGATGTAAATTATTTTGAAACCCATACTGCATAATGACTAAGATTTTATTGAATTTTTGTAGTTTGATCCTTTAACTTCTTCCAGATAAGTTTGCATGTGTTTATTCATTTTTCAGATCAAAGTGAAAAAGTTGAGAATATTAAAGTAAGCGTTGAAAAAGCAAAGGAAGCTGTACAGTGTGATGTTAAAGATGGAATGTCTTGGTGTAGGTCACTTTAATTTTTTTACATCTATGTGTTGAGTGTTGATATCAGAATGCTTTTTTAATAATGTTATCAACCTGTGATAAATCTAGCAAAACATTCTTGCCCTCCTCCCCCCTTTTTTGTCCAAAACTAGGCCCCAAAAAACTGCAAAACCATTCATTCATATCCTGGGACTGCTGAGGAACTCATTTCTATTGGCAGATGTTTTGACGAAACTATCTTTGAAATATTTTGACAGCCTTTGGCATACTAGGCAGGTAACATTTTTAATCTGCATATTAAGAAAATATTCTTTACCCCGTCAATCTTGATTGTATTAAAGGGGCTGACTGTCATGGATGTCTAGTTCATTGTGTTTATAGTGCCAGCTACGCTTCTTTTGTCATTATAAAACTTGACAAATTAGCTGAGAATAACAAAATTACAGCTTTTTGTCAAAAAATTCTCTTCCTAGAATTATATCTATCAATTTACAAATAACAAAAGAGAACTCTGAAAAACTGTTAGGCTAATACAAGTTTTCAAAATCCCAACTACAGTCCATTTCAACCATCTTCAAGTTTTCAGGGATGTCACTAAGATTTCAAGTTGCCGGGTAAACACAAAAAGTAGACGGGGAATAAAACAACCAGGGATATTTTTTGGTTCTATTTTTCTTCTATTTTCCTATGAAGTTAAAGTAGCTGCAGCTGTAGCCGGGGAAAATCACCGACCCCCGCCTCTTAATGACAGCCCTAAGTTTGTCCATCCATACTTCCTTTTGTATTAATGCTTTCTCTCTATGTCTAAGTTTTTGAGCTGTTATTTCAATGTTTCACTCAATTTGGTGGCTGTTACGTCTGTTACCTCTACAGCTTCTTTAAGTCCAGTTGGACTCATAAGTACAGCATTACAAAATGAAGTTCATTTGACCTCTTCCAATTTTTAGGACTCTAATCTTCGAAGTTTTAAAACAATCTATCATAAACATTTTGCCTTTTCTATCTTATTATTACCTTAGATGTGCTTGGCAATGCATACTTGTCATTCTTCTTTTGTGGATCACAGTCCCCCCAACTCATCAAACAGTGTATGACGGCCTATTCACAAGCTGTAAGTATACTATCATTGAGAAGAATTTAGAATAACTGACATAAAGTGCAGTTTTTGTGTAATTGGGCTCACTGGCCATGTTAATAAGGGGTGCCTGGAGGAAGGTCCAAGGTGACTTCTGATCATGCTATACTATGAGATTTTCCTTCTAACTTGCCTTGTACATGCTTTTATAAAATAACTAAGATAGTACGCGCGTCCTGATTGGTTAAAAACCTATGGTTTATTGTGCCGGTAAACTCATAGAAAACTGAAACATACTTTAAAGTTATTTTATAAAAGCAGTAGACCACACTTTCTATCGGTTTACCAGCATGATAACCCACTTGAGATGTTGGGAGAACACTCGAAATGCTTGTAAATCACTTGCCTTCGGCTCATGATTTACAAGCTTTTCTCGTGTTCTCCCAACATTCCGCATGGGTTTATCACGCCGGTAAACCCAGAGAAAGTGTGGTCTATTGCTTAAGTAAATCAAAGGGAGAAATTGACATGATTAAAGATCAATCAATAACAATAATAATAATTTATTACATGATAAGTGAAGAATGATGGTCATGTGGTAATATTACAATAAAATTCAATTAAAGCTATTACACGTATAATGTACAATGTATTTTCTTTGAATTGGAGTCTTTTGATGAGTTTGGTTTCATTTTTGTGAAAGTTCAAGGATCCTGTGGCAAGAAATAACCCAGATCTTCACTTCAACAGAGCAATGGTAAGATTCCCCATTTACTGGTGGATGGTTAAATTGGTTAAATCATTGAATTATTCAGATATTTACATCTAATAATTAGATTTATGTCTAATACTTAAATTAAATTTCCTGCTCAATGTCCAGCAACTATTTTTTTAAGAATCTTTTATACTGTAATGTTGATGAATGATGTACTCCTGAATCAGTTTCACTATGAAACTACAATCAGTGCCAAAATTAGTTGAGACACTACCTTAAAGGGCCTATGAGGTTTTGCTGACTTCAACCAGCATGCAAAGAAAGTAGTGTCTGATAGCTGGGGTCTAGTGGATTTTGCTATCAGGCTAGTGAATTCTGTTGTTAACTTGCACGACAGGGAAGTGAAGTTTTTAGTGGGATTCAAGAAAAAAGAACTGCGAAATCAATTCTGCTCATCAAAACGTTTTTGGGGCTAGTTGAAATGATGTTTGGGCTAGTAAATGCTAGCCTCAGCTTGCCCAAATGGCAAGCTGTAAAAATGACTTTCTTTGCACCATGCATCAACAGAAAATGAAGCTTTTCTTCTCATGTCCCCTCTGCGCAATGTTGTGCCGCAGGACGTGCTAACTGCAATAAACAGACCCCCTAACTTTGAATAGAGGGGAGGAGAGATGGGTGCCGATTGTTTTGTTATCAGAATTACCGCTATTTGAGTATGGTGTCTCCAAAATATTTTCGCTGCTTTTAGGTAACTTTGCTAGCTAAAGCAGTTAAGAATTAAAGACTGACCATCCACACTGCTGGAGTTTATGTCCTCCATAATTTTCTACCAGTTGGCCATTGCATTTTAATGGAATATTATCATCAAACATTTATCTGGAAAATTATTTCAAAAGTAATTTTCTTTGCATTTTTACAGTTTGCAGTGTGGAGAATATGAAAGTAATTAAATGCAAGGGTCCATTTTGCAGACTGGAACAAGCATAGATACCCTTTGTTATTAATTTATAGGCGTACAAGTTTCAAGAGGAATACAAGTTAGCAGTTTGTGACTTCAAGCAAGCTGAAGCACTTGACCCAGCCTGGACTGAACCTAATGATGAAAAGAGCAAACTTCTTAACATTCTCACAAAGACACTTGACTTGTTGGAGGGAAAGGTGATATGATATGATCACTCAGTAGAACAATGGAACTGTTTGTGTTTATTGTAGAAATTATTTGGCATGCCCGATTTAAATGTTCTGTGTTAAAACCTGATCACTACCATTCATCAGCTAATCACCTGAGAAAAGAGCCAAAATTTTGTGAAGTTTCATGATACTACAAAGATCTCAATAGTTTCTGTGTCATCAAGAGTATGGAATTTCTGTGTGCATTTCTCAGACTTCATTTTGTTGAGGAACCAGCAGTGGTCATGAAATGTTGGCAGTTTTTTCAGGCTATTCATCAGCAAGTTAATTTAATTATTTTGTTCTACATTGTCTCTTATGCTCAGTTGTTTAAAATTATGGGTCCTAAAATACAGCCAGAACTATGGATCAACACCTTGTGATCAGTCAAATGACTAATGGCCAGTTTTAGAGAGTTCATTGTAAAAACTGTGCACATTATCCCTCTCTCAGCTCTTTGATGTGGGGAATTAGTTGTTTCCCTTTGATGTCCTTAATTAGCCTGGATTATTGAAACCATCTTAAGTTAAGATACTGTAAATCTCATGTACCAGTATTGAGATAGAAACAGTCATCTATCAAGAATAAAAGTTGGATAATTACAGTCAACTATTTGGGAATGTCTTTTTTTTAAATCAGGAATGTCTTGCATTTATGAGTCAAAATTCCACTTCATTCCTGAATAGTGAGTGGAATGTGCTGAGTATTAATTTTTGACTTAGGAGCCAATAGGAGGTCATCATAAGTCTTGCCCTTCATTTTAAAAATGGTAGAGAGGTATTCCTTTTGATTATTGTCTTTTGTTCTAATTTAAGGGTAAATTAAAAGCAAAGAGGCTCCATTCCATGGTGCAGTCCCTGAGCCCCTGTGATTTAGGTCCATATGGTGGCGGTAACTACACCAGCCCATCCGGTCAGACTGCTGTTCAGCTTGATCTTGTTCCTGTTTCCAAACTGGTTCCTGGTGTAAACCCTAACAAAGTGATAGTGGGAAAAGTTGTTGGTTTTGTGCCAGTGGAAGATCCTGTGCCATAGTAAGATTTTCAGAATAGTTTATAATTTATTGTGAACCCAGGAGTTTATACTTTATAAGTAGGTGGAATATGGTTGTCCAGGTGAGTGTAGTCCTGAATAGGACTGTTGTTGTCAGTGACTTACAGTTAGACAACCTGTGTGATAGTCATCTTCAGAGTCAAAGTGAGTTGTATCACGTCAGTTGATGGTACATTATTGGTCGTCTGTCACTTAAGCAGTGATGTTGTTGGCTGTAAAGACTAGAAATATGATTGGTACATTTCAGTCTCTCTTTTGTTGCAATTTGATGGTTGGTTATTGCTAGATCAAATTGTTGGTTGCCTTGTTGTTCCATCATTGTCAGTTTTGCTTGATTTTTTCAATAGTAGTTTGTACGGTGCTGGTAACTGTTGACTGCAATTCTGTTATCTGAGCCTTGGTCACATGTTTTTGTCATTAGATATGGCTCGTCTAAAGCAATTTTCTAATACATATATGTACATCTATATGTACTCAATCAAATATATCTATATGTATACATCCATTTTTTTCTTATTTTTATTTATTTAATTTTATTTTTTCACCATCTTATATTTTTTAATCTTGTTTTTAGTCTTTACAGAGTTTTCTTTTGAGGACCTAACTGTAAAACACTTCTTGTGACATTGGCGTTCCTCATTGTTAAGATTGCTTTACTAAAATGTAGTTAAATAATCATACAACAAATAACAGTTGTCTGTCTGACTAAAATAGATGTCATGCATTTCAGCATCTTTGCCATGGTGGACAGTGAGAATCATTGTGTACCAGTCACTATTTATAACATGGCCTTAGGGAGTGGTTTTGCTGTTGGAGACTCTGTGGCAATTCCTGAACCCTTCTGTCAGGAGACTGATTTCACTGAAAATGAACAGGTATTTGCCAGTTAAATTTGTATAATAAAATATTGTAATACTTCAAGTTTCTATGATCTAAGATCTGATCTAGCAGGCTGTCTTCATCGTAAAATTAATGTACATGCTGTAGGCATTACACTTGGTTAAGAATATTTACATGTATTCATTACAAGCTCTCTTGGCTTTGAATTAACATTTTTTTTTGTGGTGAGCAAGGTATTATCATGTAAATTTTCATATAAATCTGCACAAGTATCTTAACTTTTATGTACCGCAATTAAAATTCAGGCAGCAAAAACAAATGGTTCGGTTTTGCTGTGCTCTCCGGGTGCAGTTGATCAAGAGGGATTTGCTTGCAGGCAGTACCACTCTAGTCTTGGTCATTTACAATATAGTGGGCTGGTTTGCTAACAATGCACTTTTGTCAACGTAGTGAGTTATATCATCTTTTCTCTTGCAGACATTCAAGTTTATGTCCATTCGTGTTGACAATCCAGTTGTTTTGGTTGTAAACAAGAAAAAACTTGGTGCGAACAGACTTGCTCCATCAACTCTTTTGGTTACTACAAAGAGTGAGTGAAGTCCAGGTGTAGTTGTGGGTGGAAACACACCAGACATCAGACAGGCTCACTGATTTGCCGTTTTTTTAAGACTGTTGGATAAGCTTATCGATTGGTGTGACACTAAAATGGGAAAGACGTTTATTTATGGAAGGAAGGATTTGGCACCATTGGGTAGTTTGAAGCTTTCTGCACCTTCTGCACAAGTGGCCATGAGTTTGATTCCCAGGTGTAACCTCAAAACCTTGTATTTGATTTGTTCCTTTTCATGGAGCCTTAAGTAGCTTTAAATACCCTTACAACAGAGCACTGATGGAGAGAGGATGTGGAGGGGATGTGTACTCAGGCAACCCCAGGTTTGTTAGTCAGATAATCACCATTTCAGGCTTATCCTGTGGTAGAATAAGGGCCCTTTACCTTTTACCTATACCTTCATGGAAGTTCAAAGTATCATGATTATAATATTATTGCTGGTGTGTGGGAGTGACTACGACTCAGTGACCGCTGATCAAGGAAAAGACATTGATCCCTGTGGTGTCTGCTCATGAATAGCGTTTGTGTGGAGTTGACCTTTGAAAAGAAGTAATGTCTTCAGCTGGCAGGTTTAAATCCAGTGTGTTTTTGTGGCTGGGACCAAGAGCATCGACATCTGATGACCGGTTAAAAATGTGGCATTATTGTGTACCTCTGGTATCATTTTACTGGATATCTGCTATCTGGAAGAGGTTACAAAAGTAGAGTGTTTGAGAGTGGCTGGATCAATGACTGAGTGTTTGCTTTGAAATACTCTCTGCTTCTGAAGATTCACTGTGTGTCTGCTGTATTTGATAAGGGAGATGTCTGGTTGTGGGAGGTTATGCACTGTTTGAATATGGCAGGGATCATGACTGTCTGTTAATGAGTGGTTAGAATTGGAGCATTTGTGTGTGTGGCTAGGACTGTAACTAATTTATTGTCTGCCTAGAACAGCTTTCGACTTATAAAGGCGGCATTTCCTGACCTTCCAAGGACATAACCCAGGATATTATTCCATACAGATGAAATGACAGTTTCATATGACTTTTTACCATAGGTTTTTGAAACAAATGTATGAGTTACATGTATTTGTCTGATTTCTTGGCCTCTCATTGCCAGGAGGGTAAGGGAGTGGTCAGTGATAGGCAAACCCTCAAGGGCATTCAAGAATGAAAGCCACGGGTAAATGAATAACTGCTAGCAAACAGGAGGTAAAAATAAATAACCTTAGAACTTGATAAAAATAAGTTCTGGACATGACATTTAAAGTCAAGTCAGCACAAGGTAAGAAAGGTTATTTATGGCTGGGTATTAAACGGAAGGGTCCAAAGGCGTTATGTATATTTGTAGGTGTGATCAATCTGGCTGACAGTCGCTTAAAGTGTTTTATACAAGGTGAGAGAATCGCTAGCGACTTACGAAGAAAGAAGTGTCTTATAAATTTATTCATGAAGGTGCTGCCGCGCTACTTCCATCACCGGCTATTTTTGCTTTGTGACTTTGAGTTAATACATGTGTAGTGCGCGTGTAAAAACTTGAAGCTACTGTGCTTCACATTTGTCGCGCAGAACGAAATTCCGTATCCCTTGTTTCTTTTAATTTTTATTTATCATACTTTCCACGTTTTCGCTCGGAACATTGTTTTCATTGTATAATAAATTGATATTCTTCTTGGACACAAATTAGCATCTGTAACATCTGGAACCGAAATGTAGCGCTGCCGTGGAAACAGTTTTTAAACTGTGTATTGAAAAACCTTGAAAATGTTGATGTATAATTACGAAATTAAATCTGGCACTTTTTTTACTCGTTGGTGTTGTTCAATAAGTATTGCATCGATTGTCTTCATTCACAGCCTGTTCACAGCGTTATACACATGTTCCGCGCTTTCTGAGAATTTTCATGTGTTGTACGTGCTCGCGTGATGTGTGCTTAAAATAACATATGACAGACTTAAAAGTGAAAATTACCGCCAAGGGAAAAATCCCGGGAAATTCCCGGCTGAAGTGATTTTCGTGGAGGGGATTCCCGGAATTCGATCTCCGATAAGTGATTGGCTGAGAAAACGAGGGGGCGCCTTACACCTATCACGTGATATGCTGTGACGTGTATCCGGTCAAGAGGAGCGAATCAGAAACGACGAATAAGCGCGGGTTTCCTAGAAATAAGGGGTTTTCACCGAAAAAAACAAATGCAAAGACCTATCAGAGTTTGTTTATGAGATCCGTAATAAATTCTGCGAATGGGACTGTCTGGGCGCATAAGAGAAGAGGAAAGCAACAGTGCGAAGTATTTTGTAGCGGTCATCTTCAGCGATTAAAGGTAAGGTTTGGCCATTCTTTGCTCGAACAATTCAACTAGCTTTACGCTGCTTTTTCCCAGAATCAATTTAGCGTGACATTTCCTTACACAAGCTTGCGAATGTTTCTTTTTTTTTAACGTTGAATGAAATTCGGGTTCAATCGAGCGTGTATGACTTTTGACGACGTTTTTGTAAATTTGCTTACAGTGGCGTGATTTTAACAGAAGTTTGATTTCAGCTGTAGTGTTGTACATTACACGTGCAAAGTACAACTTTGTGTTGTTCCAAACTCGTGTGTTAAATTAAGCGCCCCACGTTAGACGGCGAGCAACTTCGAACTAAAACCTCGCTTGAATGATCGTGTGGTTTCTTGCAGGTTTGCAGACATGTCCGACGGCTGTTTATTCGACATGCCATTTACCCCGACGAGTCAAGTGGTAAGTGAAATCAGTTAATGTAATTTACAACTTGTGTAAAGGTGTTTCTCGCGTGCCCGTGGTTCGTGGTAGATTAATTTCAGACATTTTGATACTTGGGAGCGAAGTTTGTTTACACTTGACATGCATTGTAAATGCTTACGATTTTTATCACACACCAAATATTCAATAATCGCTATGAAACTATTCTGTCTCTCGAGTATTCTATTCTGTTCAGTTTGTTGCAAATTTTCTTTTAACTGTTTAGGTTTTGCTCCCGTTCGAAACGACTGCTTTATTTTATAGCAGCTGTCGTGGTAATACTATACTCACATAAATGGACTACACCGTATCCACCCACACTGCAACGGATATCGTGATTATTTAGGACAGTTATTTTATTAGATCTGCTTTTTTACTTGTATTGATAGTAAACTGTCTGTAGTTTTCCTGGTTCTTGATGATCAAAACAATAAAAGCCTTATCAAGATCTTACCGAGGAATTCAACATTGCTTTACAAAATTTAATTTTAGATTCTTAGAAGGATTATTAATTATCTTCCAAATAACCTTTCCAAACATTATTTCAGAAGTTCTGATCAGGCATATATAACCTTTGCGTCCAGGTTAAGTCCTTGATCTTAAATTTTATCAAAGGACTTTGCTTTAAAATTCAATAGATTTGACATGCAGAAGCATGTACATGCTGCAGTGGTAATATTGCTAGTAGTATTTAGTCTTGGATAGTGCTGAAAACAAAAAGCCTTGTTTTCTTTGCCAAGCTTGACGTCACAAAACAAGCCCGACTGTTCTAAGATGGGGTCACGTATGCCGTATTAGTCATTCATTTCAGTGACAATATCTGTTCTGAAGCAAACAAACGGTTGCTCAAAATGGAAGAAAAAGGCATGAAATGATTGTGCTTTATGGAAATGATAAATAAGTCATTTTTTTGTATATGTTATTATCAAGAAAGTGGAGCTGTCACATGGGTCCACTGGATTAACATAACTGAGTGAATAAAGCTTCACTTGCTTAAATTCAAAATTCTGTTGTCCTGCAAACTTAAAGAAAACTATCAAGCAGGACTGTCCAGCAACACCACAAACAAACTAAAATTTACATGGTTGCAAAGAAAGGTGTTTTGTGCCATAGACGAACAATACTATTAACACTCAAAACAAAATTACCATATTTCCTTGAAACTGATCGCTCTGAACTTATGTGGAATTTTATCCCTTTGCGTAATTTTGATATCAATTTGCTGAATTGATTCTTGGAAAACATTTTTTGTCTTCTATTGGTAAAATAGGGAAAAAATGTGCTACTTTTTTTCCATATGGATCCACAGAACTGATGGGATGGTTCAAAAGACAGCTCTCATCTGAGTCACTTCAATAATCATCACTTTAGTTCTTTATTCTCTCGCTTACAAAGTTCATCAGACCTTTTCATATCATTGGCAAAGGTCATAAAAATTAAGAAACAATAAACAAATTTGACAAAATGCATTTAAATTCTCCGTATTAACGTCATAAGAAATGTATAGTGCAAAATAGAGTAGAGGATATGTATGTTTAAGATAGCGCTGATCTAAGGTTATTAAAAAGTCAACAAAGTGTTATCAGCAGTAAGTTGAAGTCCAAAGTGGCAAAAGTTTTGTTATGATCTTCATACTAGTAAATGACTGATGGACAAATAGGTGCTGCAATAGTAGCGAAGCTAGGTATTATTTTAATCGCTCTTTTTCTTGGAAATTTTCAATTGTTCTCAAAATATGCAATGATCAGTCATTCACGCATAAATACCCTTCTACTGTAAGAAAAACATGCCCATATTTGGTATCAAACATACCCACATTGTATTACCGGTAGAATGATATTTGAGGTAGCCCACTCTGGAAACGTTTTGTAATGATTTGAACAAACTTCGTTGCAATGTTTGTCAACAAAATTAAATTTTTTTCTGCCCTGACAGGAAACAAATTATTTGTTTCCTATCAGAAATGTTGTTCACTTATCAAGAGAGCAACTTCAACATCAAAATGAAAAACGTTGCAATCTTACAGGCTATTAATGGCATATGTTATGTTATTGCTAGAGGTGTAACTATTGAATGAACCCCGGTACAATATTTTCATGGTTAGGTTAATCTTTTTACCAACTGTCCATCCCGATTTTCATCGGGATTCTCCCAATTTTGCTTGAAAATCCTGAATCCCGACCAATATGTTATCAGGGTAGGAAAAAAATCCCTATTTTGACATTTCCAAATGAACTCTTACGATACTTATACAAGAACACATAACAGATTATACTTAACAGAAACTGATGTCCAGAAAACTTTAAAAATTGCACAAAATAATATAAAATAAAATCAAGTACTTGTACTCAAAACCAGGCAAATAAAAATAAGCTTAAAATGACAATTGATTTAGTGAACATTTTAGACAAAAATTGTCCTCTCAGAACACCAGAAATGGCATTTCAGAGGATCAAGAGTTCAAAATTTTCTGGGGGAGAATGCCCCAGACCATCCTAGCGGCTCGTCCCTTCAGCACTGGCCTTATCAAAAAAATATCCTGGTTATTCCTATTACTTTGGAATAACTTTTGCATACTACTAAGTATTTCTAAAGATTTTACACAAAGAATTGTGAATTTCTTTCCTCATTATTTTAACCTCTTAAACATTATTCAACTTATGTTACCAGGGTTAGAACCCCAGCAAAAAGCTAATCCCAGGTTGAATAACAGTTAAATATAAGAACAGATGTTACTACAACAAAGCCACCATCATTAAATTTGCCAAAAGGAAATTAAAGAAAGTGGTGTATTCCTAGCATTAGCAGTACTTGGACTGTTTAGTAATATACTTCTGTATAGTACCATTGTTATGATGTGTTTTGCATATGAAATTTTAAATTATTCTACTTTGGAAAGGGCAGGATTAATGTTATGATTTCAATATTTTCTTTCATTTCTGCAGCCTCCCAATCAATTGTCTTTGCCAATGTTGAAATCATGGCTGTCATCCTACAGTTATCCCTCTACCACTGCTGGTCCCCTTGTAGCAACCACAATCACCATAGAAGCCATTCAAGATCTCTTGCATGCAAATGGATACCCCATAGAAGGTATTTGGCTCATTTATTTTTTTTAGAAAGTGTATATAAAACATAAATGGATTGTTATTAGGGACATTGTAATTTTTTAAGTCCCTTCAGTATATCTTTGACATTCATTGGGGGGAACATGTGGCTTTAATAGGAACAGCTTGAAAAAGTACCCCTAAGGTGCTGGCTGTGCATGCTTATAACAGGAAACACTTTTGTAAGCAGAGAGGTAAGGCTTAGGATTTTGTCAATGCAGCCTTAAGTAGTCAAGTTGTCCACTTGCGAAAGTATTGTGTCCTTTAAGAAGGCTTAATGCAACTGCGTTATTAATATCACTATATTAAGTATTAATTTTTATTACAGCTGTTTATTAGAAGAATGTTCTGTGTTACTGTAGCTTTAGCATCCATTGCAATCTTTTTTCTAAATTTTCTCTCAACAGCTCCATGCAATGTAGATATGTTTTCTGGGCCATTTGACGACACACAGTTTGATGCAGTTGTGGATGTTGAAACTTGTGATGATGGAATAGATGCTGGTACCTAATTATTTTGTTTCTGTAGACAATCATTTTTTTTATGTGTTATGGCGACAAAACCCTTATAATTTTATTTAAACTCAGTAAACTCATTGCAAAGCCAGTTTAGAGAGATTGACCCTCTATGTTAAACTAGCATTTTTTGTCTATGTCAATATTTGTTTAACAATGTGTATTCTTTTTTAAAGACCTTAAATTCACGGATCTGGATGCCTGTTCTGAATATGGTTACTGTGGGTCTGACCTCTCAGAAGATGACCTCAGTTTATTGCAAGGTAAAATTTAATAAATTTTTATCGCAGTCATAACTACTAGGTAACATTATGACTTTATTGGACATTGGCGTAAAGAAAGCATGTTGTTGATTATAAAATAATGTTGTCTTCCACAGACCTGCCACTGAGTCCAGACTCTCCATTGCTTTCTGACTCTGCTGATATTGACTTTGGATGTGACTCGGGAATTGAGGCTGAAATGGATGAACCTCATGGTAAGATGCATCTATTCTTCCTTCTTTATTTCATTCACGCCGACATTGACTTAATTTCCATTATCATCCTCCGATGCCTTGATACATTCCTTAGAAAGGCATATGGCTGCATCTTCCACCTTTTTCCTGCACTTTAAGGTAAACTGCACACTAATCTGAGTGATTACAAGACACAACATGGATGGATTTCCATGTCTAATGCTTCCTCTTTGAAGATTCTGTTTTAAGCCGAGTTGTATAATGATAAAAAAAAAACTGAACATTATCCATTCTGACTTATAACTTAATACACTACTACACCAGAAAACATTTTTGATTCCCTTCTTATAAGGTTGAAGATTCTAATCCTGCAAATGAGTGTGTTTTTCCTCAAAAACCTGTTTTATTTCAAGTAACTATTGTAAATGCATGATTCTTTTCCTTATAGTCTGTTAATTGGTTATTTTTATTTTAATCTAAGATGGTGCAGATAATGAGAAAGAGAAGAAAGAGAAGAACAAGGCCACTGATGATGACAAGAAATCTTCTGAAAAGTCAACCAAGGAGGGTACTACAAACAGCCAGCAACAAAATGGTTCAAAACCACAAACAGGTAGTTGTTGTAAGATTATTTTTTTACTGTTAATATGAAGTGGTGGATGGTTGACTTAGAATTACTGTCAAAATATATAATGTAATCTGCTCATTATATAATTATAAGGGAGGGATTTTTATCAATTTGAAATGGGTTGCATTATTTTTCTGGAACATTAATCTTGGGCATTTCCCAGATCAATTAAACAAATCATATCGTTCTGTTTTTGTTACAAGGCAACCAGTTTATTGACCGTCTTGTTTATAGAGTTTTGAAAAAACAAGTTTGAACCTTCTTTGTTAGAAAACAAAGAACCTCACGACAAGACAAGAAGAACAAAAGAAGATGATGATGAAGTTGATGATGACGTTGATCATGATGGTGAAGATGACAAAGATGATGAGGACAATGATGATGGTGAGAATATTTTACCAATGATACATGTAACTTATTCCTAGATCATCCAGTATCACATGAGTACTTGTGCAAGATTCTTTTTTTATTTGGGTTCTTCCAATAACATTATCTTTAAAAGCAAATGTAGCACAAAATGCTCACCTGTAGTCCATGATGTAAAGTAAATAAATCAGAATCATCAATCCTTACAAAGAAATGCAAAGACAGCATTTCCTAGCTAAGCCACCAACTAAAGTACATATTTTTGCTACAACAATGCAGAAAACTTTACAATGCTCTTTTGGAGTTTTCTTTGCTGTTCCTGTACACTAAAGTTGCAACATTTGGATTAACAATAAGTGCCATCCTATACATTAAGTTCGCTGCGCTTTCTTAAACGTCAGTGGTACAAATATTAAAAATTAACAGACTCAGTCTTGATAAAAATCAAGGCTATATGGCCTGTAATAAGTGTTAACACTTAAAATGTTTTTCAAGTGGAATTTGCTATTCATGTAATCATATTGTTGATTAATAAATATATATTTTTCCTTTAGATCTTCCTCATGTCAAGTGTCAGTACTTATGGGAGTTTCTTCACCATATTTTGCTGCAAAAACAAAACAAGTACCTAGTGTGGAAAAATCAGGCTAAAGGAGTGTTTCGCCTCATTGACCACAATGGTTTGGCACGCCTATGGGGAAAGCAGAAAAACAGAAAAAACATGACATACGAGAAATTAAGCCGCGCACTCAGATACTACTACAGCAAGAACATCCTCCGTAAAGTTCCCGGCCAGAGACTGACATACAAGTTTGTTCACAATCTTAATGGAAAGAAGTATCCATTGTAAGCACAGGACCTAACACTTAATTTTGAATCAGTTGTATTAGAGTCAGATGAATTAATCTGACGAAAAGACAGTGAAGACTTTCCTTTGAGGTTGACGGAATTGTCAGTGTTGGAGATTTAAAGGACAATGATTCACAGCATCTGGCTCTTAACAAGGACTGCACCCTGGTTGACAATGAAATACATGTTTGTTTCCGCAATTGCGTAGATAGCTGTGTGTGAAGGCTGCCCTGAGCCCCACCTTCCAAGGGAGTGGTTATTGTGATGCTCTCTATGTCACTTTGAGCACAAGAGACATGGGGCTCATTATACTGCTCGTCACCTATGGCACAACATCCATGCAGCTTCATTCTGATGGACCAGCGTCCCATCAAGGGTGGAGAAATAACACTCCTTGTACATTCAGAAAGTCCTGTGATGGACTAGTGTCTTACATTACCAGCGGGAGTGTTTCCTCTCATACCCCCTAGTGGTAATTAACTTGTAAGTTATAACTTAGTTGTGGAGTAACATCCCATCCAAAAAGAGCAGAAAAAATCCTCTAGACATGTTTCCATATACCAGGTCACCCCATGGTGGACTAAGGAATTCTGTTGGTCGCTTCATAGTAAACAAACCTGGTTACCCTGTGATCAGCTACATCCATGATGGACCTAACATCCCATCTAGAGAAAAAGTGAAGAGCTATACATTTAAGAGCCTGCAGTATGCCTGGGTCACTTAGTGTCCAGTGCCAAAACTGACCTATAAACATTATTTTGTATTTCAAAGTATCAATTTCCAGGAGATTGCAGATAAGTAACATCTAATGTTGCATCTTGCATTTGCTGAGAATTTTGTCAAGCAGGTGAAATATGATCATTGAAATAATATTGTCATTGGCTGCCAACATCAGTCCAATTCAGGACTACTGACAATCTTGATGGAAAATCACATTTCACATATTAGTCATGGCTCCTGGGTCTGAACCCTTTACAAATATGTTAATCATATGCATGACTGTAAGTTTACAAGGCATTGGGGCATTAATCTATCTGAACTGAAGTGGGTCTTGATCAACTGGTTTGTTTTAATTATAATAACATTTTTACTACGTAAAGTGAAAAAGAAATCAATTTGCAAAATGAAAGGTCATTCCAGTGTAAATACATCTCTATTATTTGTTGGTGGAAAATTTATTTCTACCTTTAGTTACCTGTATGCCCCTTAAATATCCTGACTATGCGTTTGTAAATAACTAAGAATAATAATAAGGAAAGATGTGCCATTAGATGGTTATTATACATACACTGTAAAGTTTGTTTACATTCATTTGGTTAATAAAGGTTCAAATAATTGACCCTAGCTTGGTTGATTAAAGAGCCGTAATATAGTTAACTAGTCTAAAACTACTATGCAGTAAAACTACAAAGCTGTAATCAGCCCCTGCTACCAGTGGTGAGCCTGTTATCAGGTCCTTTCTGAAACCTCCAGGATTGCATTGGAAAATTCTTTTATGGGCTCCCTCAAAAAAAGTTGCAGGTATGAGGAGCACCAGAGGATATTCTGAATTCCACTGGGCTATAAGGCCAGCAGATTGGAATGATAATTTGTGCCCCTACCTTCCGCCAGGGGGCTTTCCTCTAGGAACCCGTCTCTTATACAAGACTAAACCTAAGGAAAAAGCCCTGGGATTTACTATCCTAGACTAACTATGGAACAGAAAACCCAGGTCATGATCATTTGTAATAGGCTCCTGATTTCCCATAAATGATACCCTATTTAATTTATAGTTTAATGAGCTCTTGGTTAGCAGATTTCAGAGTGTTACAGTATTTGAACTTAGGGTAGGGGGAGGTAGTGTACTCCCAACCTCATTCCCAGGGCTTTTTCCTATAAAATGTGAGGGGTGGGAAAAGCCCAGGGGATGAGGTAGGGGTACTCCAGAGTTGGCCCCCCATCTTAAGGTTCCAATGGGAGCCGATTGGTCAACAGGCCATTTCAGAGTTCCCCTGGGCCTCTGTATCAAAACGAGCTTATGCAAATAAAACTTATTTTCACAAGAAAGATTGTACACTTGGCCTCATTTTGAAAGTGAGAGTTTTTGGAACTTGGAAGTGGCCTATTGCTTACATGACGTCTGGTTATCCTGTGGTTAGTCTGGTTAGATTGTAGTTTCACGGTTAATCGGTAATCCGTGCATCCTATACGCTAGTCTACAGAAACTTGTTCTTACACTGTAAATGGTTTAAAAAATACATGTATAATGCTTAACTGAATTGGGCTTCTTGTGGTAAGCACACTTTTTCCAAAGGATAGGCCACTTGCACTAAGAGGTCACGTGAACAATGCTTCCTTTAAACAATGAGTGGGAATCTTGCTGATGCCAAAAATTGACAGAGCACATAAAAATTATCTTAGACCCGAAATTTGAGAGCAAACTCATTTAAGGGAGATATTTTATGGCACTTCGATTTTTCAACAAAGTAGTATGATTTTATAATCTCGTCGCGCGCCAAGCTCGCGCGCATCACATGAGCCGCGCGTGGTCTTAGCCAGATGCAAAATTGGATGCCCCATCTTTCTTTCTTTCAATATATCTCTTAAGGCTGGTTTTCACTTGCGACGGAGTCTGAGTCGGAGTCGTAATCAGAAGCGTAGAGCTTATGATCTAGTGAAAACAGCGTACCGATTCCGTTTACGACTCCGTCGCTTACGTTCCGCTTATGATCTTGTCAAAACCAGATTGTCGTGGTCGGAAGCGGAAGAACTAAGCCAATCACAAAGTGTGACAACGTGTATTGTGATTGGTTTATCCTTCCGCTTCTTCTTCCGACTCCGACAATCTAGTCTTCACTAGATCTACAGCTACATTAATTGACAACATCTTTACAAACAATTTAAGTAAAACGGAACATTTAAATGGCATTTTATTAAATGATATATCCGATCATTTTCCTATATTCACTATAACAGAACATGAATTACAAAAATGTCCCAAAACATCTATGGCAGAAGACTATACAGCTAGGATAATTACCAAAAAATCTCTAGAAGCTTTCTGTTGTAAGATTAAAAATTGCGATTGGCACTCAACGCTATCTAAGAATGATCGGACAGAGTCATATACAGCTTTCTTTAAAGAGTTCTTTGAACTATATGATAAGTTTTTCCCAATGAAAAAGTACAAATCTAAAAGACCAAACAACCTGTGGATATCTAAAGGATTAAAAAAATCATCAAAAACAAAAGAAATTCTATACAGAAAAGGTATAAAGAATCCGAGTCATAAACATGAACGAAATTATAAAATATACCGAAATAAACTGAATCACCTTATAAGAATAGCTAAAAAGAACTGTTATAGCAAAAGACTGGATCAAACTGGTAATGATATAAAATCAACATGGAATATAATCAATGAATTACATGGTAGAGAGAAATCTAAGACCCGTTTACCGGTATCATTTTTAAATAATAACAATGAAGAAGTGTGTGACCCAAACTTAATTGCAAATGATTTCAATAATTATTTTGTTAATATTGGACCAAACCTCGCAAAAAAATTTAATCGAGACAGTGATGGATTTGTTGAATTTCTAACGGGAAGTTATAATGACTCTATGTTTTTATATGATACATCCTATGATGAGGTACACAAAGTAATAGATAAAATGGCAACCAAGACAAGTTGTGGTATTGATGAGATTAGCAGCAAAGTTATTTAACGTGTGGCGCCATATATATGTGTTCCATTATCTTACATTTTTAACTTAACATTTACTACTGGCAAAATCCCAGATGATTTGAAAGTTGCGCTTGTAACACCTGTTTATAAAGCATCTGAAGAAAATATTTATTCTAACTATAGACCTATCTCGGTCCTTCCGTGTTTTTCTAAAATACTTGAAAAGCTTATGCATGTATAAAAGACTCATTGACTATATACATGAAAATGGAATATTAACTGACTGTCAATATGGATTTCGAAGTAACGGTTCAACAAATTATGCTATAATTGAACTTGTTGATAAAATAACAAAAGCCATTGAAAACAATGAATTCACTGTTGGGATATTTCTTGACCTATCAAAGGCGTTTGACACCGTAAATCATGATATTCTCTTAAGTAAACTTTATTTCTATGGTATACGTGGGAGTTGCCATGCATGGATAAAAGATTACCTCTCTAATAGAAAGCAAATAGTGAAATATAATCAAATAAGATCATCTGAAAGATTGATTTCTTGTGGGGTTCCTCAGGGATCTGTTATTGGGCCCTTACTATTTTTAATTATATTAATGACCTTATTAACTCAACCTCTAAATTGTCTACTATCTTATTTGCAGATGACACAAACATGTTCTGTTCAGGGAAAGATATGCATGAACTTGAAACTACAGTAAATTCGGAATTAGCTCAAGTCCAAGAATGGCTAACACTTAATCAACTGACTCTCAATATAAAAAAAACAAATTTCATCATTTTCAAATCCCACAAAAAACGATTAAGAAGAGATTTGCGTCTCACATTAAATGGGACTGTATTGCAGAGAGTAGAAGATGGTAAATTTTTATGAATTGTAATTGATCAACACTTAACATGGAAGAACCATATTGACTATATAACTAAAAAGATTTTAAGAATTACAGGTCTGCTTTGTAGGATTCGTTTTTACGTCAATCAAACGCATCTAAAAATGTTGTATAATAGCCTAATTTACCCATATCTCCATTATGGGAATATTGTTTGGGCAAATAACTATCCCACAAGGCTTGATACATTGTTCAAACTACAAAAAAAGTATTGAGAATTACAACCTTTTCGCCGTATACAGCACCATCTCTTCCGCTCTTTTTTAAGTTAAGTCTTCTAAACATTTATCAAATAAATGATTTTTTAATTGGCCCTCTCAGTTTCAGCCTTAATAGTAAAGTACTTCCGTCTTATTTCAATGACTTCTGTATAGGAAATGCACAAGTCCATGGCCATAATACTAGAGCAAAAGGGCATCTACATAAGATTTTTAGCAGAACAAATTATGGAAAATACTCTACTAAAAACAAAATAATTGATATCTGGAATAGAATACCTCTGAACATAAAATGCTCGGCATCTATAAAAATATTCAAAAGGAAAGTAAAACTTTTTCTCTTATCCCATGTGGTTGTAGTACAGTAAATAAGTACTCAAATATATTCATAGTGAAATATTTTTAATAAATGTATTATATGATTATTGTAATTATTGATCTCTCTATTAACTACCTATTTCACCGACTCGATTTCAGTAATTCAAGTAGATCTTTCAACCCTTTCTCCTATCCCATGCAGTGATAGTACTGTCCGTTAATTACCTATTTCACTGATACCATTTTAATGAATTTCAATAGATCTTTTGTTACCTTCAGGGAGACTACTTGTAAAAGCCCGTAAGGGTTTCTTTAGTCTTCCTCCAAATTTATTACATTGTAGCTCACCGTATGTACTGTATAATATTATGGGAAATAATAAACTCAACTCAACTCATAAGCGGAACGTAAGCGACGGAGTCGTAAGCGGAGTCGGAAGAAATGAAACGTTCTGATTCTTCTGACTCCGATTCCGTCGCGCTTATGACTCCCCTTACGACATCCAATTTTTGATTTTCACTAACCGACTCCGATTCCGTCGCCAGTGAAAACCAGCCTTTAGAAAAATCGCATTTTGGTCACGTGACCACCTAGGAACTTACTGATTTTAAGAAAATGGTGTAGGGTTTGAAAAACCGAATCACTCTAAGCAGGAACCGGCTCCTGCTTTAAGATATGACTCACTAATCGTTTTCGAAGGCAAAATCATGTGACTTTCATTTTCATAAAAACGATGTCACATGACCTCTTAGGGCAAGTGGCCCAAATGGCCTACCGTAACATTCCGAAAATGAGCCCCTGGGCTTATATTCGGAGCGGCTTATCTGTGGAGGAAAACTTGCGTTTCAAAATCGATTAGGCTAGCGTTATGGTTGGATGGAAATTTACCGTTTTTTTGCTTTGTTTTACTTTGTATTTGAGGGCTATTTTCAAGTACAACCCCCTGGGAAGCTTATATTTGGAGGGGCGATTTAACGGATGGTTTTTTGCGTTCACGAGTTTGGGGGGCTTACAGATGGAGGGGCTAATTTTCGGAATTTTACGGTATTTAGCACAAATTTTAGGACAATACTTCACTGGCCCAGGGTTTTGTCGGCCATTTTTTGTGAGGTGGACTGGGGTTGATTTTGGCAATTGGGACGTAACTTGGGACTTGGGACGAACACCGCGGCAAAACGTCTACGCATGCGCCAGGTTGAGCATTTCCGGTCTCTTTTTCAGTCACACTTTCCAGTCAAAGTCTCCCGCGCGCTTCATTCTGTGTGCAGCTTGTGATTCAGTTGTTCTGCTTTATGCTGTTCGTGTTTTTGACTATTTTGTAGTTATTGAAATTGCTTTTATGGATAACCAGGCACAGATCACTAAAACAATTAGTCGATTAGATTCAGAAAAGGTAAGATGATAATAACTCAGTGTGTAATTTTGGCTAGAGCGTCAGGTTAACTGATTTTCATTCACGAAAATAAAGTTTTTGACTGTTATTTTTCACTTAACCTGGCTGAAACTAAGACATAAAATTAAAACGTTATCATTGCAAGCTTGTGTATTGTAGTTCTAATTTTCAGTTCTTCAGTTTCTCAGTCTACATGTGTTAAAGCCGATTCAAACTTTATTTGGAAAACGACAACCCACAATCGCTTTGTAGTTTTGTTTACCAGTGGGTTTTACCGTGTTTTCTAACGAAACTCTTCTGGGTTAATTGCCATGAAACATAAGCTTAATTATACTGTTGAGCCGGTTGGCAGCAAGTTGACAACTCTATTTATTTATTTTTCCATTCTCAGAATCAGAGAGCGAAAGCTGGTTCAGTGGCTTTTAGAAGTCGAACTTTTCATGCCATGTATTTAGCAGCTAGAAGTTTCGTGTTTGCATGAGATGCAGCCGAGCCGCACAGTCTGAAATTATTGAAGACTTCAACAAAAGAACAACCATGTAAAAGAATTAAATAGGTATTTTCTTGAATGAAAGTCATTTATAGGCATGTTTAGTTTCCAGGTGACTGCAGTCATCAAAGTCAAAGTTGTTATTAAATCCCGCCTATCTTTTGTTTTGAGTTCTTGTTTTCTCTGATAATAAAACAAATTATTGAACGGACTAAAATTTTATTTCCTGGTTTTAGTCTTTCTTATGATAATGATGACGTCTTTATTTTGGTTTCTTTCATAAGTATTGTTATTCTTTTCTTAGTTGTCGCCTTCTCCCAAATTAACTAATGCCAAACCAGTAGAATGCGAGAAAGCCAGTAAAAACAAATTCGTCTTGTCGAGCGCTCGCGACCTGCAAACTTCAAACATCATTTTCACCGTTGGTGCAAACAGATAACCATGTGGTGCAAAAGTTTGAGAATAGAAAAATATATAAGCTTTCGAATGAAGTGATTTTTTTGGCCCCCTTTTTTGTCTGTTTCGCCCTTTTTGCTTTTAAACTTGGCGCGACGGCAAAGTTATGCTTACGCTATTGGTTTATATACTAGACCGGAAATAAAAAGCTGACCGGATATTAAATTTTGTGCTCATGCGCATTGCGTTTTGCCGTGGTGTTCTTGGGACGTGACAAACGAACCCCAAAGGACGTCTGCGGGGAGGCTAAAGTGCTGAATAATTGATCGGTTTCACGAAAATTTAACTCCAAGCACTTGTTCTGTAAAACTCTATTGCTCCGGTTCATTTTTTGTTCATTATTCAGTAATGCAAAACAACGTAAGCAAAGAGGACTTCATTTGACAAGCTCAACTGGTGAAATGTTCTTTTTCGCCCTCGGTGTTTTCACCTCATCTTGGGCCAGAAAAAAAGATGAGGACGACATCCCAAACAACCAAAATCTGTGGATTTTTGGCTATGGGTCATTAATATGGAAGGCGAACTTTCCTTTTGTGCGGAAAGTGGTTGGATTTATAGAAGGATACGAACGTCGGTTTTACCAAGGGAGTAGCGACCATCGAGGGATTCCCGAAAAGGTGAGCTTATCAAAGATTAAGCTTATCTCGAACTCTCTCCAGAAATAATTGCAATGAGAACTCCAACTTCCAAATTAAGAATATTTAAGCTTACGTATGTAGGTAATACGTGTTTCTCGAACTAGAACCTCACGAAACTTTAAGAAAGGGCCTAGAGCGGGAAATAATGTAAAAAGAGCCAAGAAAAGAAGGGGGATCGCATTTCTCCAGTTTCTTAATATTTTCAAAGCCGGCAAAAAGAGTCCCGTACAAATGCATGACAATATATCTTACCTTCTCGATCAAACATTTTCTGTCCGTGCATTTAGACCACACGTTGATCATAAGACATCTGTAAACTGTGAGAAAAGTTCTCATTGTGATTAAAGCGCCAAGGATGAACTCAAGCTTACTGGTTTGTGCATTGGAGTAGGGTACTCCTGCGAATTCTTGGTGGGGGTGTGCCGGCCGGTTATCCAAATTCTGTCCCTGTTTGAGACCAAAAATGTCATATGTCTACACCCATTTTCACACCTGACCTCTAAGAAATTATTTTATTATTACATTCTTTCCTATTCATTTGGAATTGAAACAACAAATACATTCATACATTACCAGGGCTGTCAAAAAGTTTTTAAGTAGGAGGCTGATAATGAATAGTAGGCGGCTTTGGAACTCGCACCAAAGGAATAAGTTCTTGAGGGCCAAGGCAGCTAGGGACATTTTGAAATATAGAGTCACAGAAATGGCATTTCCAGGGGTTTTCAAGAGGCATTTTCCACCACGGACACCATGTTGTTTCGTCAGAATACACACAAGACTAGGAACAATGCCAGCGAAATGTCCCAGGCATTCCAAGACATCACACAGTTTACACGTTTCACAGATCTAAACTTTGAATATGCATTCAGTGTCATTCAAAAGTGGGAAACGGTATTTTATTTGATGGTGGAGATGAAAGTAATTTGCTAAGGATGGCTAACTAGGCGGCAGTTTTGGCCGGCTACCAGCCCTTATTGACAACCCTGCACTACCCTAGTTCCCTCCAAGACAATTCCCGATTCCAGACCAAAATGGGCAAACTCTATACCCATTTTCAGACCATAACGGCGCAAAAACCATGCCCTTTGGCCATGGGGCGGCACCTATATGGCTTATATTTAACAATTCCTCGAGCCCAAATGGGCTCTTGAGTCAATAGTCCGTGAGGCCGAAGGCCGAATGGGCTATTGACTCAGGGGCCATGATGGCGAGAGAAATAATTGTTTCAGTAAAATCCAACTAGCTGGTCAAAAATATCGAGACAAAACAACTTTAGCTGATTAAAGCTAGACTTTAATCCGTTCTTTTGCCCCCAAAAAGCCGGCACTTTCACTACTAGTGGGCTATAACATATAGCCTAGTAGTAGCTCAACCAATCAGAACGTAGCATTGATAATAGACCACCATCTGGGATTCCAGCCCATATTGGTCATCCCTCACCATTTAAGATTGGCAACATTTATGGCAAAATTTTGAACTTCCCTTTTCTTGGCTTGAATTATGAATAAACAATTAATAAAATTCCTGAAAATAATTGTTTTGTCAACATGGTTATGCTTTTGGGTTCCCTGCTAGCAGAGGTCTCTCACGACGAGGCAAAAAACTGCTAGCCGCGAAGATTTTGGGCCAATAATAATTTTAAAAAATAATGCATGCAGTGACCTTTGTTTTGCCCTCTTTTTTGAAAGCCATTTTGTATCTGTGGAAAAAAGTCTGCAGAAACCTGGTGAAATGAATGAAATCACACAGTGATCCTTATATTTAACTCAACTGACAGACCCAATTTTTTTCTTACTTCTCATCTTTGTACCAGTTCCTTTTTTTCATTTAACGTTTATCCATTTGCAATTTTCTTTTTCAGCCTGGAAGGGTAGTTACCCTCCTTGAAAATCCCAAGGTGAGTTTCTCTGTTCAATAAGTAAAATGCATCAGCTGAAATTAAGTGGAAGTCATTTGAGCGGAAAAACAAACAAACAAACAAAATATAAGGACATAGAAAAAATCAAGGGAGGGGACTAAACTAAGTGTTCCAGATTTAGTGTTGTTTTGTCAGGACTATGATGTAGTCACGCAGTTTCAGGTGGTATTACTTTTTAGGATTTAGATAATGAAATTCGAATTTTTTGTGAATTTTTTCTTTGGTAACATCTAGAACTGAAAGGATCAAGTTCTTTCTTATTTTCTGATAAAAAATCCAAGGCATACATCTGTTTCCAAAAAAAAAAAACATCTCTGTGGTAATTGCGCTTTCATCTTAACTATACAGACACTTGGCTTTCCTTTGGTAAATTATTAGATTTTCCTTTGGCAAGCATTTTTTAGGCCATAAAGTTTTTACGTAGTCCTTTTTATTGTCAAGTTCAAAATCCAACATTAAGGCCGTGTTCACACTATATACGAGATAGCTTTTTGTGCTGACATAAAAAAACTGTGCGGTATAGTATAAACTCCTATCTGATATTTGAATCTCTGCTTAAGAGATTGGTGTGATGCTGCTTTGCTCCATTTAATACAGAAATAGCACCATGTCAGAACTGATGTGGTATAGTTTTCTTGCCAGTGAAAAAGCTATCTATCCTGTATGGTGTGAACATAAGCTAAATCTTTCTGCATACATTTTTGTGGTTTCAGGAGAAAGTTTGGGGAATTGCTTATGAAATCGCGTCGAGAGACATTCCTGGGGTACTTGAGTACCTTGACTTTCGAGAAAAGAATGGCTACAAAGCCTCATGGGTCAGATTCCATCCAAAGAATGCTGAGCATCAAGCTTTTCAAGCAAAGCTGTACATTGCAACTCCTCAAAATGAATTTTACCTTGGCCCTGCACCACTGCCTGAGATTGCAGAACAAATTTTGACTTCAAAAGGACCCAGTGGAACAAATTATGAGTACCTGATGAATCTTGCTCAAGCAGTGCGCAATCTTAGTGCAGAGATTGAGGATGATCATCTCTTTCAGTTGGAAACCCTTGTCAAGAGTGGTTTATCAAAAACTGCCTAGTGTAGAATAGGGTATATTATTATTATGGGCAGTGATTTTGTTACAAATTAATAGTTATGCTGAGTCCTGGGACTCATCTTGTGAAAAGTCATGTGTCCCACTCCAGAAACATTGAGTCCAAGTTAAAAAAAAAACAGTCTGAAATTGAAAATGCTTGGGCCTTTATGTAACCAGACAGTTAATCTGAAGTCATGCAGACTCCAAAACTCTGTATTACAGTATACTGAAATTAAGATATAAACCTTCTATTTAAAAGCACAACTAAGGCTAAAAGAAATTTACATTGTTGAACAACAGCCATAAACTGTCACAGAAATTACATAAACGGGATATTTCTACAAATAAACATGTTCAGATCGATCGATCGATCTTTGCATCCTACGGGACGCATGCCATCAATAAATTATCTTGTGTCTTGGGGATTTTTATGCATCAGGGATGCAGGACACAGAGGTAACAAATCACTGTATGAGAGGTTAAACAGTGATATGAAGAATAATAGTTTTTGCCTTTAGGAATTAGCAATATTTATTGTCAGGGCTGTCATTTAAGGCAGGACAGGGCTGGTGGCCAGGGATTTTCTTCGGCTACCATGATCATGACTCCAAGCTACATGGAAAATAGAACCATATGAACCTCCTTTAGCTGTTCATTTCCCCACCCACTAATTGCAGATACCTGGCAACTTAAAAGCTACTTGACAGCTCTGATTGTTGTTCGGGTAAAAAATTGAAGAAGGGAAAATCAGATGTAGAGGAGTTCTTGATAACTTTCCATTTAGAAACAAAACATGAAAATAAAACCGGTTTTTCTGGGTTATTCTTCAAGAAAAAATTAGGATGGAGCTGAAACATAAGTTTATTGTGGTCAGATCATATAACCTTTGTATATTTAAAGTAGACTTGCCCAATAGTTGTGAATGATTTAGTCACAAGAATGAGCCCCACGCGAAACCAAAGGTCTATAAGTTAAAGCAAACTTCAAAGTTTTAAAGACCTCACAATTTATAGAGAAAGTCTCAGTCAAGTGGGAGTTACAGAACATTTAATTGTTCTCTAACTCTGACTTTTAGATTTTCTTGTTTGGAATATAGCGGTTATTATTTTCTAATACCAGATTTTTAACAATTTGTGTATTTTTAAAACTGCTGGTCAAATCTGAGCAGTTTCCTGTTATTGTTTTTTTGTAGGGTATATTAATTTATAAAGACCAGGTCCATTTGTTGTAGAATATTATTAGGTATTTAAAAATGACATTGTACAACACCTCTAGCTTCAGTCAACGCCTGTTATTATGGAGCCCCCTTTGGGACTGCAGGTTAGTCCCTTAGCGATAAAGTAGCCTGTTGGAGGTATTCAGATAGTAGGAAGAGGCCTAAAGTAAAAAAAAATCGAGGAAAATGGAGGGAATCATTTTTTGGCCCTCCCCGCCTTTTTGCTTTAAGCGATGGCCCTACTATCTGAACGCCTGGAACAGGCTAGTCCATGATAATGGGGTATGTATTTTCCATTCAATGATATTAGACGGAAAAATTCTGTAAATTTATAAATATCACAGCCAAACTTGTAAGGATTTAAAAATTAAATACCAGTAGATCAACTGGTATAAAATTTAAATACCAGTAGATTAGTTTGTGCTTTGTACTGGATCCTTAATTTCTTTTTTAGGCTGACATGCCCGTGGAAGTGCCCTAAACTCTTATGTCACTTTACTACTCAGGGGCAGATCCAAGATTTTTTTTAAGGAGGGGGTGCACTCGTCTCTTGCTCTACTTCAACACCAATAAACCACATAGTTTTTTTTTTTGCAGAATACCAGTTGTATTAGAAAACCGCAGGTCATCTCAGGGGGGGTGCACCCCCTGCACCCTCCCCCTAGATCCGCCCATACTACTCTCCCGAATCTTTTTAACTCAAAGATGGTGGCTACGAACTCAGAAAATCCTGAGTACTCACTTGCCAAAGCAATATAGGTGGGTAATGGATTGGGGGTTTGGGGCTTGGAAGGGAAAAGAGAGGGAGAGACTAACTGGGCTTAGCTCCTGCACGTTTTTCTTCCCATCTCCTCCCTAGACTCGATTTCCGCTACTCCAGGGACTAGTTGTAACACTATTTTACATACACAACCAAATTATTGGGCAATTATTTAGGTTTCTGGGGAATTGTCCACCTACCCCTCCCCTAACTCAACTTTGACACTTACTTCTCACTTAGGGCAAAATGTTGGCTTAGGGAAGGGGTAGGTGAGCAATGAGGGTGCAATGCCACCTGAAGTCCCTTTTTGCCAGAGAGGGAGCTGAAGGTTAAAGTTGGTGGACTATATTTCACCCCTTGATCCAAAGTAACTCTCCAATACTCCTGCTGGTCTTCCAAGAAATGACTCTCATTTTTTAAAAACAATATTAAGGACTAAGACCCTACATTTTAAGGGAGGTAATAGGCTCAATTACCAGCTACTTTTCAGGAAAAATGAGCCCACTATTAAGATTGACAAAGATACTTCTGGGTCTTGAAAGTCCCAAACTTTTTGGGCCTGTTATCAAGTATCTAAATCAAAATATAGAGAATAAATGCACAGCTCCAGGTAGCTAACGTACCAGTCAATTTTGTTTTTGTAACTGATAATTTTATCATACTATTGGGAAAACTATTGAAAACGTCGGCACCAGGTAAACCTTTTTTAAAGTCCACAACCCCCCCTACGAACTACACTTGAAAAGAGGTGGATCGCCCCCGCACTTTGAAAACCGCTTCGCGGGCCCTGTAAATAAGACAATTAACTTGGGTGGTGTAGGAATTTTGGTGGCTGGGGGAGAGGCACACGTGAAACTTTCACACGTTGGTCGTCTTGTTCAAGGGGAAAAGACTGTAAAAAAGATATTAAATGAAGTTAAAAAAAGGCACACTGAGCAGGCCATCACATTAAGTGGCAAATGAAAGATTTCCGATGAAGTAAATTATAGGTTGACTTTCGGAGTTCGGACAGTGTACTTAACATTTTTGGCGATCAGCTGATATGATCTTATTTGGTCAGTCTCCCGATGGTCTTCCTACGAATTTCTGATTGGATAATTTGCGTACTTTGTAATTTGATTGGTGCAGAGTTCATTTTCGAAACCCTTGATGCTAGTCACGAGACTTTGTCACGGGACTTCTGTCACGGGATTTTGCCGCTCACTCAATTGAAATTGTATATTTTTGGTGGTTTGCGGAGTCGAACGCTGAGAATTCGTGTGTTGTGACCTGAAACATCTGGATTAGCTTGAGAAGAAGTCTCTGTTAGCTTTAAAACGTTTTGGGATGAGTAAATACAAGTGTAAATGTTTAAATATCACTATACACGTCAAAGAAAAAGCTACTCGCGAGACGGACGGTAAAGCGTTTGTTTCGTCTCCCGAGAAAACAGCTTTCTTCCTGCTAGATCTCTCCGAAGTCGAATTAGCAGTTGGTGGAATAACGAAGGTAACTTTTAATTCTTCAGTATTTGCTTTATAAGCGCAGTTCTTAGGGCCACGTCGACACTGAGTTGATACAGACAGTTGATGGCGACACGATCCTGTTATCGTATGGGCTGACAGAGACAAAGCGCGCCAAATCTTGGCGGGTTTTTACTAAAGTTCTGATTCTTTATTTGTAATTATTGTTCTTGATTTCTTTGTTCTTTGTAATCTGATTTTTAAAAGTTCCTCAAACATTTCTCTGATTGCATCAGATTCGACATGTCCTATATCATGGTTTACCTGACAAGGTGCCTCGTCGATGGAGCTTAGTGCTTATTTAACTTTTGACAGCTGCAAGCTAGCGAAAATTAAAGTAAGCTTAAATTTACCCTAGTTTTCCAGACTAAAGGTTCGAAGCTTACATTTTGTACAATGTAGCTCATAGCGAGGAATAGTGTTAGGGAAATCAATGAGGAAAGTCCTTTCATCTCAGAATACACATCCTGTTTCGATATTTTGTCGTTATATTTATAATTGCTTTTATAGGTGACCTTTGACGTCTCTGCCCATAACTTTTTCCTTTTTGATTGCTTTAGGAAGTCGGAAGTCTTGTTAAAGAAACCAGAATCGAAGACTGGGATATCTTCACTTGCATTAATTGTGGCATGGATACTCACGCTTTGCATGCAGTGAAAAAGTATGATCGAGTTCTGATAAATAGAAGGTTGGAGGTAAGAATGCAATCAGATAAAATAATTATAGTGGGTTTAACACTGATGATAATAATTTTTTTCAATTGTGCATGCATTTTTCAAACACGAATTAAAAAATGTTTTTAAATTGAGGCATATCCTCTTTTTTCTAAGATGGTATATTAAATAATAATTACCATTCCAAGCTAATCATCAGCTTATGGATGTGAAGTGGTTTTTTTCAACGACTTTAGATGTCTTTTCTGGTTGAAATCTAGCTGACAGACAGACCTCTGACAGATTTGCAGTTAGTTTGCCAGCAAGCAATATTATACGATTTCCTGTTTGCCTCTGACTGTTTTTAAAGCTGCAAGTTTTAAGGCATGGGCAAGTTCGTTAGCAATAAGATTGCACATGGGCAAATTGACTGATTACATCAATATCGTTCCACCTGTTTTTGTCAATAAATAAACAGGTTTTTTTAACTGGTATTTTTTCTATACCTACACAGACTGTCAAGTGAAAATGATACTTGCCATCTTAATCCCAGTTCAGACGCTGTGCTTCACATGAACCAAACCAAATTTCAATTTCAATTCAGACAGCTCATCTATCAAAACTAAAGGGGAAAAACATGCATTTCAGTAACTACATTCATTATAACAATTTATGGATTTGGTTCGACTCTTGTGAAGTCCTGTGTCTGAATCAATGCCAGTCCACAGCCATTTATATTCCCGGCTGAACCGGGCATAACATGTATAGAAAACTGAAGGCCGACGATAATAAGCTATTTTTTGACAAATATGATATGGCTGCTTTTAATTTCTGTATGTTACTTAACTGAATTTGTTTTATTATAGAGTGATCCTGGTGTCTTCAGTGAAACTACTAGATCGCCTGAGTATTCATCTATATTTAAAATAGTTCTCACGCCAGTCAGGAATAGTGAAGAATTTATCATTGACAATTCATGTAAGTTAGTCAGGTGGGAAAACAATCATATTTTATGAGGACAAACTATAATAATTATTAAATTGATTTTTACAAGAACTTTATGTTTGCTTGTCTCATTGATGTAGTCAGTTTGAATGTGGGAAGAGACTCTGCTTACTACAAGTCCAGTGTTCAATCTACGCCGCATTTTTGCATCATGGACACGGAATATTCTGTTGTAATGCAAAATGAAATTATCATGGAGTCATACTACCCCAAAATAGTTACTTCAAATTTTAATATAAGTATTTCCAAAACAGTAATAAGTAAATATAAAATAGGTGTGCTTACTAGCCTGAAATGAGGGTACAGAATGACTGTCATTTCAGACTATGTGCTTAGGGAAGGTAGTTTTTGTCTCGGGCATTCCATGCAATTCTGAGAGAGACTGGAGTTTACATTTCTTTTTTCTGCATAAGTCTCTTTGCTGATCGATTCACGGTTTTAAGTGACTGGTAGTGTAGTATTAGGTTGATTACATAACAAGTTGTTCCTTGGGGTTAGTATCCTGCTAGACCTGAAGCTTTTCGGAAATAACTTTTATGGGAAATGGTGAGGGTCTACAGTAAATATACCTGTTATTAACCAAATAATGTCAGTGATAAGATCGACATTTAAAAGTTACAGTACTTCATCATATTGTGACAAAGTAACAAAAGCTATAACCAGTTACTATAATAATTCTCTAGGTATCAATGTTTAGACAGAGAGGGGGGGTACAGGCATAGGTGTGATATTTGAAATCTTTCTTTGTCCCCTCTCTGGGGATTTTGACCACAAATTTTGCCCCAAACAGCAGTGTTGGTATCCTTAGAAAGAGATAATTTATCAAACTTGAACTATATTCCAGTACCAAGGGTCGAAAATTTGACCAAAAACTTGCAAAAAAAATTCAAATGCCACACCTAAGCCCCTGCAAAACATTCATACTGGCATTATTAATTGTTTGCACATTTAAGCTGCCTGAGTCACTTACAATATTTTGTAGTTCAGTGGTTTTTTTAACCGTGTCAGAAAGTAAAACCAACATCTACAAAGAATAACAGTGTCAAACTACTAACTAGCATATAATATAAAACTAACCTATTTGTTGACACATGTAAATTGTAAATGTAACAATTTGAATCATGTGAAGAATCATGTGACATTTTCAGTTTGAAGTTTCTTTAAATAGATTTCATTGATTTGGTTGTGGATATCATGATCGTAATGCTAAAAGATGAAATCATGCAATGTGGTTATTTTATTTACTGAAGGGTTTAATATTTTGTTGCTCTTGGCTTCAAAATTTGAAACGAAATTTGAGTGTTAAAGGGTAACAATTTTTCATGACATTCATAAGATAAAGGGGTTACCTGCCAACTTTGATCAACAAGCAGTTTCTCTTCACATGTTTGCTTCATTTTGCATCATGCATACTTTGAGATTTGATTTTTGGTAGAAACTGATATTTTTCAGTACCTATGACATACCTGTGATCTGCTCACAGGATATCTTATGACATTCTATAAATTTTTTAATGAGTCATGACTGTCATATGTGTGACATTCACATGATATGAACAACTTCATTTTGTTAGCAAACGTAGTAGGTTGGTCTTAAATGGTGTAAGTAGATAGTAGAATTCCTGTGGAGATCAAAACACTACCACATCTTTTTTTGTTAATTTCATGTTGAGTGTTCAGCTGTAGTTAAATTTCAGCAAGCTGTCCCGTGAAGCTCCCAAGCATAATATTTAGAACAAACTATTATATTGTGACCTTTCAACAACCAATCTGCCCAAGTCAAGCTAACAGTGACTAGTGCCAGTTTTTTACTCCACGGGAAAAAGTATAATATTTGTAACTCTTGCTGATCAGTTACACTTAAGAATTTCATTCACAGACTCAAATGTTAGGACCATCTTGTACAGCGTAGTAAACAATATCACATGGAAATACTATGCCGCACTGCTCATTAGCTTTTATTTGAATAGTCATATTTTGGAATTTCATTCACAGATTACTACCCTGTATCTCATAATTAAAAAAAAAGCATTATGTTTAAGAGTAGTTTTTCATCTAATCAGCTGTCTTAAGGATCTCATTCACAGTGCCATTCTGTGTTTTGGCTGCATGAGTGTGGTTTTAGCATAGTTAACAAGGAAAATAGTTAAAATCTTATTTTTTATCCCAACATTACTTCTACTAAAAGTGAGCTTAAATTAATTCTATTATTGTAGATTTGATTAATTTTTATAAAATGTCATTTTACATGATGTTATTAAATGTTGTACTTTAAATATTTTTAGATTCTGGAGGAAGTGCTATATTACTTGGCCAGGACACTATTTCCCTTGCAATGGTCAGTGTACAAGAACAGGTCAAAAAATACCTCGAGGCTGAGGAAAATGCAATGAATGAAAGAATAAGGTATTTTTTTCGTATTGTTATTTTTCCATTAAAGGACTTAACTCATGCATTTAAGGGTTGAGTAAAAAGATGAAACGCAGAGTACCAGCAGGCTAAGATGTACAGTACCACCCAACAAAAGTACTTTAAGGACACCTGCTTAAAGGGGCTGTGTCACGGCAGTCCAGTTCATTTTGTTTAATTTTGCCAATTATTGCCCTCAGTTGCTATGGAACTTACAAAGAAATTACATGTAAATGAGAAAATCGGAGACTCAAGGCAAACAAATACGTCTCTTGGGCATTTTTTTTTGAGGTTGCATACAGCAGAGATACACTTTGAAAAACTGTTAGGCTGAACAGTTTTCAAAAACCCTAATTTCAATCCGTTTCAATGTTCTTCAGTTTTGCCCATCCATGGCATTTGTTGTATCTGTTGTGTTATTTTAACCTTCCTTTTATGTTTTTAGCGGTGATTTTTACGTTTCTGTTAATTTAACGGGCATTTTGTAATTACCTAATTAGGCTGAATTTCGTGACTCAGCTCCTTTAATGTGGACACCTTTTTATTACAGACAGTTTTCCTTGACCCTAGCTCTTACATTTTCTCTAAATTTAACCTACTTAATAACAAACACTTTTTATGTCACCCTTAGGGTCTGTATTAGTGAAGCTTGACTGTACGTTACCAGCTTCTTATGAGAAGCAAATGGCATCTTGCAGGTCTTCAAACAACAAATCTTAAATTACGAGGATGACCAAATATATGTTTTAAAATTTTGCAGAAAATTTGTTGAAGAACAGAAGGCAGGTTATTCTTCCCTGCAGTCACAAGTATTCAAGGATAAACAAGCTGTCTACTGGTAAGTATGCAATGCACACTATTTTTTACCCATTGTCCTCATAAAAACCCCTAGTTACAGTGTATTTCATTCTGAATGAACACTTTTTTTATCCCTTGTGTTTAGTTCAAGGAGACTAATTCCACTCTGAGCCTTTCTTTCTAAATCTGAACCCATAAAACTGTAGTAGTTTACTCTCAGACTTGAGTAGCAAGGATGACGTGATCTCATTCGTTGGAATCTCAATCACACCTTTGTAAATCTTTGATTATTGGCAGTTGTTATAATGTACAATCCATCAGGATTAAATTCCATTTCTGTTAATGAACTTTAGATCTGGGTATAATACGGTAGACAAAATCCCTCAGAATACAGTCAAACCCAGTTAATACAGAAGCTGAGAGGCCATAGAAAGTGTCCATATTAAGTTGGTTGAATTTAGAGAAGATGTGCATGTAAGGGCTTTCTTTCCTCAGGAACAAAGCAAACAACCCGTAGTTATGTGGTGTCCTTATTAAGCAGGGGTCCATAAGGAGAGGTTTTGACTGAAAAACGCAATTCATCATCTAAGCGTCATTAAAATATACATGTCATGTTAGGTTACTCCTTTTGATACTACCACAACTTTGTCATTGATTATAACCTTTTCATTTTGTGTTCTTTTGAACAGGACTATTAAAAGAGAAGAAGAGAAGTCCTTAGAGAATTCTCTTATTGAAGCAATAGCAGACAGCTCATTGGATAGCCCCGTTGTATCAAAATCTGGTGAGGACTTCTCCACCCACACTCTAGTTTTTAATGTTAACATGGGTTACATAACTTATGTATGATGCCTTTAAGACAGTGGTAGTGACACAACAATAGGGAGGTTAAGATACCACAATGATGGTGGTGGTGAAAACGTCACTGAAGATTAAAAAAGTGTACGTGAACTCACCAGGAGTAATATCCAAGTTGAAAAAGAGAAAGAGAATTTTGTCATCCTTTGTTTATGTTCTCAATAGAACATGAAATTGAGCACTTTCACATTGTAGTGATGCAGTGATGGTAAAGAAATGTACCAATAAAGTGTGCACATGCAAAGTTGGTTTTTTCCTAATCAAAACATATTTCTTTTTGACATTTTTGTTGTTGTCGCTGTCAAGACACCTTAAACTCTCTGATAACAGGAACTATATCATGCAGATGTTACCTTAAGTACTACCACTATAGAATAAGCAGTGTAGCAAATTCCACTCTCCCCCCCATATCCTGCACCAATCCCATCCCCCTTCCTATTTGTAGGTGTGTTGTATTTTCTTGAGTCATGGAAGTGGAAAGACTGCTTGCCACGTTATCATAAATTTTTTTTCACCATACGGGTCATCATCGGTTGAGCAGACTGATGATGGCTGATCAATTCAGTCTAGTATTCTTTTGATTTAACTTCATGAGTTTCCAGCAAAATCCTATGTTGAATGTAGAATAAACAATTTTGCTTCTATCAAGGCCTTTCTTAGATAAGATACCATAATTTTCTGAAATGCTTTGCACATGAAAACCTACATCATTTGTGTGCTCTCTTATAAAGATGGGATGTTTGCTTCTTTCAGAACTTCCTGCTGTTCCAAAGCTCACTGAAAGCCACCCTGTAAATCAAGTTCACATCGACACCCAAACTGTTTCTCACAAATTTCCAATACATTCTGCTGCTCATCCGTCTTCCAAAAGAATACCAAGAAAAGCAGCACATAAGCAAAAAGACTTCCCAACTGAATCTGATGTTGACCCTGTGTTTTCCCTGGATGATTTTACTGATGACTGTGAACCCTTCTTTGAGTCAGAAGAAGATGATCTTAGTGGTGAGACAAGTAAATTCATTCTTTGTGATGTAAATAGTCAAATAGGAAATGATGGTAATTTTTGTCATGGCAAAAGATATGTTTTTTTGTTTAGTAATCTCTTTTTGTGCTCAGTCAAGTTGAGTGATCCACATCATGTATGACATGGCTAAAACACTGCATGCTGTTGCCACTTTTTGCCAAGACTAAACAATGATCAGTGAGGTCCTTAAAAAATGCTTGAATGTTTGGTCAGAAAAGTTGTATGAACCCTAACCTTGGCATCTTCTACTAAAAGACTGAGGGCTGGTTTGTTCAAAGCTGGGACAAGATACCCTAGAGTTAGTGACAAAATAATTTTGAATTCAGATGTGAAAGCTTAAAAAGTAAATTCAGTTTAATAAGTCTTTTCTATCACAATTTGATAAATAGATGGTCTAAAAATAATTGAGAAAATTATGTGTGGAATGCTTTTAAATAAAAGAAAATGGAACTGAGGTTAAAGTTAAACCCTGGGTTAGCACTTATCTGTCTTCAAACATCTGGGCCTAGATGTGCAATATAATAGTAACTGTTATAGGGGACTTTTCTTATGTTGCTTGTCTGTTGCAGATAACAGTTTTCAAGCCGAGGAACCGGCCTATAATCAAAGATTTAAGGCAGTCAGGAAATCTTCACAGTACTCTTCATCTGTCCCTATAACCATGCCAACTGGGAAGAATTCACCACCAGAGGACAATGATGTATGTTACTATACTTTTTTTGTTCAAATGGTCAATTGAAAGTTACGGCAGACTCACTAGGAGTTTGAAGCACGCGGACCCAGTTGTTCAAAAGTTTGATGGCACTATCCACTGGTTAAATGGCTATCGTGATCCTATGGATAAGTGTTAGCAAAAACCAGGTGTATCATTATGGATAGCACCATCCACCTTCTGAACAGTCGAGGCCAGATTACAACTTTCAATATTGGGAAAAACATCCATGTTATCGTCAGTATTCTATAGAGGTAGTCTTACCTTTAAGCCTCTTTGCCTCTTTCATGTTGTATATGTGAGGTCATGTACTTGTAACAACATTATGTATTCATTGTATTAAGCAAGGCCGTCACTAAGATGTCAATTTGTGGGGTATATGCAGTTAGTAGCGAGGGTATTCCCTCTCCCCCCCCCCCCCCCCTGCCCAGGAAAATGTACCTCTGGCGCATATGTTTTGCCTTACTGGCCGTGAACTGTCCCTTACCTGCTGAGCTAAAATTTTGGGAGAACATTGAGTGCTACTTGAAAATCAAATAAAAGTGTTGATATCAGTTGAAATATTCCAAATTCTGGCCTGTTCTTAGTAAAATTACTCTACTAGTGCTAACAATAAAACTGCTCAAAGCATTTTTGACTAATGAACAGGTTGAAAGCAAGGGAACGAAATTTTGAAAACATTTCTCTTGGAGAGTGTTATGACTGGAAAAATTTTTTCAGCGTAAACCTCGTTGGATTTTTTATGATTACTTTTTTCTGTCCTTCTGCCAAAGCCCTCTTTTTGCAGCAGCAAGTGTCCTTTTGTAACTTTAGATTAGTTTTCACTAAAACGTTAGAATTCTTTTGATACTACTCTTTAGGTGGGTAAAACACAATATTCTCCTTCTCCTTGTTCAGCATTCTTTAGTCAGTTTTTTTCTCTTGAGACTGCTTAGTTCATTAGCAGTCAGAAGTAAAACTGTTAACCATCTTCATTATTCAATGCTGACTGGTATTTTATTTTCTCTCCAGCTTGAAATCCCTGAGCCAAGCAAGATTCGAGAATCTATGAAGGCATTAGCTCGCAGTGTCCATGATGAAACAATGTTTGGTGAACTTCCAAGACCCAGACGGAGTACCTACTCTTTCAGATAGTGAAGTGTGAACTACTGTTGTTTGCTATAATTATTACTTTTGACATAAATTTTAAAGGAAGTTAAAATGTTTTCTAGGTAGAGAGTGACATTTGAGCGGACCTTTTCTGTGTGAGGTTTGACGAGCTCATTTTTTGACAGAGCTAAAAAAAGTTATGATATTATATTATAGAGCATTTTGTCAGGTTTATGGATTAGTGGGAATTCGTAAATCTTAACAATAAGGCCAAATGTTTATCACTTTGACATTGGTGGGCTGGTGACTTGTGTATTGGGTACAGTATGGTGGTGTATCAGTTCCCTTACGTCTCCTACACTTGGAGCATTTACCACTTCAAGTGATACAAAAGGGCTCAAAATCACGGTTGTTTAAATCTGTTTGGGCTGTGAATTGATGTATACTAATTTGCAAGCTTCAGTTGAATATTTATGACCGAAATAGATGTTGAAGAACATGCGGTGATGTTTGCCTGCTGGGCTGACCTTCCGAGGGCTTCGTTTTGCAGTCCTCCTTTGCCACAAGGTCTGCAGTGGGAGGATAAGGGATCTTCAACATCATTTTGAGGAGTAAGTTAAGAGAATTTGATAAAAGATCAACGCACTTTCCGTTTGGTGATCATATTATAAATTTTCATAACCGTTCCTCTTGATGATGTATCGATACTGTTTTGAGAAAATTATGTTGTTCACTCAATAATGCACAGGAACCCACAAATAGAGCCTGGTAGACCTGTGGCTGTTTCCAGAGAAAAACTATCCTTTCTACACATGTATGGAATTCTTCCAAACAAATGTATATTGATTTCTTAACAAGGAACGAGAAATTCGTAAAAAAAGTAACAATATTTAAGGTCAGCAAGGTATAGTTTAATGCCAAAAGGAAATTAGGTTACAGTATATCAAAGAAGTAGATGTATTGTGTGAGTTGGTCGGTATTTTTAAATGTATTTATAAAGATTTTTAAGTTGCCCGTATGGTGCAATAAAGAAACGTTATTGAAAAAGGTTAGGTAACGCTTTGTTTGGTATCTTTTCAGCGTGTAAGCCATTCAAATCAGCGATGTACTCCTTAGTCCGCGCGCGCACGCTCTCCATTTCGCGAACGGCGCGGGACAAATCGCGAGGGAGCGAGAAAGCCTCACGCCATCTTCACTAAAAGATTCGTGGGCTTAGCATGCCTCTAAAACTCTTACTCTTTCTTAGACCAGAACATGTGATTTATAGACCTTAATCGCTGTTCTTGACAGGCGATATGTGAAAAAAATACCAATTAAGTTCCTAGTGTCGATCTTAAACCTAAGGTGTATTTCAGACCCGATTTTAGAAGGGAGCAGAAACCTTACCCCGGTCGACCCTGAACAAGAGAACATAAAGGTCGTGCCCTGATAGAAGTATTTCTGTTACGCCGAACGCAAAAAAATCTCCTGCTACCCGGGGGGAAGAAATCTTACTAAGATCACAGCGATAAACCGTTGAGTGCTGCTGGATCTCTCTGTATTGGTCGGGTCCCGGAAATCAAACCTGCGACCTTCCGCTATCAAGCGCTCTACCGACTGAGCTGGTCCTGTCACGTTATTAGGGATTAGACCCTCCTCGAGGTCCTTTGACTACCCAGCGGATAACTTGCGATTCGGCTCTATTTTCGTTTCGCCTGGTAAATAACGTTCTGGCAGGCTTAAGCGAATCCTGCGAACGCATACGTGTTTTCGGTCGTCGCTTAACTTTTCGGGTGGAGAGGAGAGAACACCGGAAATTTGTCTGTGTTCGTAGGTTAGCTTTAAATAGCGCGACTAGTAAGAAAGAATGTACGAGAGCTGCAAATGTTGGGCCTGATCTCAGGCTGGATCTCAGGTTACAAAGTGAATCATGAATCAGTCACATGCTGTGTGTTTGAGAGGAAGAAGAATTCATGACATTGGTAGGCAACAAAAGAGGAATTTCCTAGATGATATAAATGAACGTGTTATCCAACACTATTCATGTACGGGCTATCTGATTGATTATTTTGTGAAGTGATACCGTAAAATTCCGAAAATAAGCCCAGGGGCTTATATTTTTCAAAGGCCCTTTATTAAGAGGCTTATATTCGGAGGGGCTTATCTACGGAGGGAAATTTGCGTTTCAATATAGAGCAATATCCGTAATTAAGTCCTGAGTTCGACTTGGGCTCTGAGATGTGTTATGTTCAATCCCTTAATTAGCCTTATATCGGGGCGACAATAGAGGTTAAGCTTCACGTTTACGTCAAACGGCAAACGCAAATTTGTACCACGTGAGTTTCTCGTTTATTTGTCGATTACTTTTATTATTTCTACAAATAAATTAGTAGTTTTACGCAATTTTTTATCCATAAGAATTGTTTTGAGAAGTTTTTATTTGCTCATTTCCTATTTTAAGAAATTCTCAACTTGAATCTGACGTTTTCCGTTTGCCTTATACGTGAAGCCTAAGTTCTCTACTGTAGGCTCGTAGACAGCTGGTTGGCCTCCTCTCGGTTTTTCATCAGTTTCAGGAGCCTAATTTGGACGATGCTGATACTAGCTAACAGGAGCTCCCCTGTCAGTGTTTCATTTGGCTTGATAAACATGTTTAGTGAAAGGTGTATAAGGCTTATTCCAAAATGGTGAAAAAATTAGTTAGCTGCCCCCTTCCCCTCAATTAAAATTTTCTGAGGGGAGGGAGGTGTCTGTACACAGGCTATATATCTTGAACAAAATAAATGGAAAAATTAAATCTCGATCTTTTTATATGGCTGCCCCTAAATTATGGAACGATCTTCCAATTTTTATTAGAAATATATCTTCAGTTAATGCTTTCAAGAAGGCTCTTAAAACTCATTTATTTCAGAAGGCGTTTCCCAGCTAATTTGTTGTTTTTATTCTCTTTATTAAGAAGGATTTGTATATAGGATTTTAAAGATTAATTTTTATTTTTTTTTAATTGTTATTTTTACTAATTTTCAGGAACGATCTGTGAATAAGACTTTTGGAATATGTACTAGGATTTTAGGATTTTGTTGAGTCAATGTTATGCGCAGATGAAAATTTCTTTCCCTGGATTGATATTTGCGCAATACAAATCAATAAATTATAATTATTTATTTATGAACTTTGAGCTTCCTCGGAAAGTGTAGTACAAACTACCAAATGAACTGTCGTGTGAACGGTAAATCAGAGTATGACTTTTATGTTATGTACGGTAAATCATTTCAATTAGTTAACAAATTCACCCCAATTTTCCATTGTCTGCTTCATAATAATGACTTCAACACTGGTCAACATTTTTCAAACTCGCGGGGGATTTGCTCGTATTCACTGTGGCTAGCCTGCGTATGGGAGACTAAGGGCGCCAAAAAATAGTCATCTGTGCCCCGCCGTGTAGCTAGGAATGTACTTGACTACCAGAATTCAAAGGAACGAACTGCATGTTATTGAAAGGATCAACTGTGACCACGCTGCATGCAAGGTCCATATGAAACCTTTGTCCACATGCTACCTTTAACAACCGCCGCGCCAACCAAACTGCGTGGAAGGCGTAGTCTAAACAATGAATCAATGGGCCCGGCATTTGCACGAGTAATTTATTTTGCTACTATTACTACTACTACTACTACTACTACTACCACCAGCACTCGACGACGTCATTTAGTACTTGCCACGAAGTTTTAAATAACACAAGCCTTTATTTGCACACACAGGGAAATATTCTGATAAAATAAAAGTAGTCGTAGTCATGGTGCAAATGGTCTGCTGTTCATGTCATTGATAACTGACAGCTATGCTTCAAGTGATGGGTCAAACCAAACCTGTGGTCAAACGTATTAAATACTTGCAAACAGGCCTGTCACCTTTGATAGACATGGTCACAAAGTTGTACGGTGAACAGGACCATGTGCCTGCTACGATAGATTGCACGTGGAAGCTCGTGTTTCTTCCTGTCGTTTAAAATCGAAGGAAAAATCATTTGACACGTGTCCTTACACATGTGCAAAGTGGCTGAATTTATTCACCATGAGTGGCCTCTTGAGCTCAAAGGTAATACCGAAGGCGTGTTTAGGAATCCCTTTAGTTCGGCTCGTGACATCACAATGTAAAACTTCTCCTGTGTTAAAATTGTACCGTTCTAAGCCTAAATGTATACCATAAAGAGCACTGAATTACGTTCTATCAAAACGTGACTCTGCACAAATTATCGAGTATTCTGGCAGCGCGCAATGATTTCTCCCAGTGCACGTAAAACTTCACTTACTATTGCCTGCAGCGACATTCAGCTTATTGCTCTTTTGTTTAAAAAAATAAGTAAAATAAGTTATTTTTATTAAGTTATTTTTGAAATTTAACTTAAAAAATAGTTCGATATTAGTGCCTGGGTTTAGCGGCTTTGCCGAGATTTTGTTCCCCAGTCACTTTTTGAATAGATTTCAGTAAGTCTCGTCGTTGTATATCAGTTAAATTTCAAATTCAAGCATCACACAAGGGTGGGGGAATACAGGCCACATTCCACTAGTTAGAATACGGTACCTTTTGAGAGAGAGCATTGCGAGACACCTAAACTGTAGAAATGAGATGATACAGTCAAACCCCGTTAATACCGGCAGACACTGAAGGGGCCTTTACTAAGTGTCCGTATAAAAGGGGTGTCCGTATAAGTGGCTCATGATTTTGTAAGATTAAAAGACACCTTTTATTAGAACGAAATACTAAAAAATTGAGAGAACAGAGGCATCTTCAAACTGAATTAAACATATCTAACCTTCACAGATTACATGAGCCCTCATTTCGCGAACCAAATCCATGGAAAAACTAAAAAAATCGATCATTTTCAAACTCATTTTAAACCGTTCTCGGCACAATTCTTTGATGCTCAAATAGCCTAAAATTGACGTCTACAATTTATCCTGATCTGATTAACTGAAGCTCTTGTAATTAAGATGCATCGACATGCTGTCAACTGAAGGTATTTTTACCTTCTAAAAGAAAAGGTCTATTACAGCACGTAGCCGATAATAATGTGTACGCAATAGTGAGGTTGACTTTCTATGAGAATCTCTTGATTGGGCAAGAAACAACTGTCCGTATTAGGGGGGTTAAATTTATAGAAAATTTAAGGGCTTTCCCCATGCAGGGAAAAAGAAAAGTGTCCGTAATAAGGAGGTGTTGTTATTAAGCAGGTGTCCGTAAAGAGGTGTTTAACTTTACTTTGCCCCTTCTGTCTGTCGTCCCCCTTTGGTGAATGAGTTCCTAGTTTTTGGTTAAATTAGACTCTCCATAAAGTAATAAGCATTCATTGAATATTCAAAGACCAAAAATATACCTCTGGAATGTTTGCAAAGAACTACTTCTATATGTTTTCACTATGTACGATAAAACAAAACGTAGTTATGGTGAATGGAAAAACCGTTAGGGATGCGTGACACTCGTAGTTAAATAGCTGACAGGATGATATTCCCTTAAAATGTCAAAAAGTATCAAATGTGTTTTAAGAAAGAGAAGTTTCGGGTGTATTACCCTTCTTCAGTTATGAAAACCGTTGTACAGGGCTAATACTTGGAACTTGTTGCCCTCAAACACAAAATTAAACAACACAAAAACGGTAGAGTAACACAGTGATCGCAGTAAAGGTTTTTACAGTTTATTGCCGTTTGCCTTGTTCACTCTTCTCTCTTGGTTTGGATTTCTTCGGTCCACATACAAAGTACTTTCAAGGAAGTTCTATTCCGCCACCCTGCACCCAAACTCCTCCTCTTGCACCCCGTTTGCAGTAAAGTAATTTGAAGTTGTGTTTTAAGTGTTCATGGATGAGTTTTAGAAAACGTGGAAAGGCGAGTTTTAGTAAAAACTTCGTGCAAATTACTGATATAAATTTCCCTTCAACTAAAGGGCCAAAAGTAAGCTCCTCAAAAAGAGCCTTTGAAAAATATAAGCCCCGGGGCTTATTTTCAGAATTTTACGGAATTTCCTAGCTCCTGTTGTCCAATTTGCTCTCGTTCATGGGTATCCTGTGCATTTTGTAAAAACACCTGATTTGATGGCCGAGGGGAATCTGGTTCGCAGTTTCACTCGAAACCGCACGTTGTGAAAACAAGTGAGGGAAGTTGAGGGGGTTTTCAGCTTTACTTCGTTTCCCGTTTTTGAGTGCCTAGAGGACTGATTTTTTCACGACATTACTCATTCAATTCTCCGTTGCAATACAGAGGAGGAATGTTTGGTAATCTCGTGAACAAAAACGCCAGGACAGCGCTCAAAGAATACGGAGACCTTAACGGCGCCGTCGTCGATTTTGACATCAGTACCGTGGAAAGTTCTCCTCACAGCCCACAGTTTAGAGCCATGGCAAGAGTCGGAGATCGTAATTTCCCTGCCGCTGTAGGTTCATCTATAAAGGACGCGAAGGAGTATGCGGCTGATCTTGCTCTTCAAGCCATTGCCCAAGGTAAGTTCAAAACAAGCAAAAATCATAATAGCTACATCTACTGATAATAGTTCGTGATTGTATCTTTTTGTCATGTTGTGCCCTTTCCCTGTTCTTTTTTATTAAGTCACGTTTTCCTCACAAGTCCAAGATGTGATCGAGGCATATGTTTTCAATCGATAACGACAATAAGATTGACAACGCGCCATGCAGTGCAGTGACATTTTTTGAGCGCGCGGATCTAGTGCACTTTTAATCGGCGCAGGTGCAAGAAACCTTTTGACAATCACAAGAAATTCCGGACAAGCAAATCTCAGATCAACTGCACAGTTAATGCTGGAACCAAAAGTGGAAAATTCGTATGTTTAGGCATCTTTTCCTATCTACTGCCAAAAATATTTTGTAGGGTCTTCCACTTATTTATTAAATTTTTTGACCTACAGCATTATTTTATTCATCACCCCAGGTTTAGGGCAGACATATTCCCAATCTCTCTGTCAACAGAGGACAGAAATGGGTGTTGCTGTATTTAGCGAGTTAATGTGATAATTTTTTTAATAACGTGGTAAAAAAATTGTAAATTGGTTAAATTTTATATTTGTTAGACCCTTTTCGCACAAAGCAAAATTTTGTTTGTTTTGCAAACAATTCTGTCAACAGGAAGTCATTTCTAGTGCAAAGGATTTTTTTCACGACCAATGTTTTGTCAGGCGACAATCTCCTTTTTTCCTTGACAGCTATCCTTTGTGAGGTCATCTTATTTTGCAGACATGACCTTAGACGAAAAACTTTGCATGTCTCAGATGCGAGCAAGGTTGCAAAAACAAAAAATTGTTGTGAATCAAACTCTGTTTTTTGCCATAGTGCGAACAGGGCCTTGGTACAGTGATGTAGCATGACCAAGAGTTTTAGTAACCCCTCCCTAGGAAATTTTGCCAAAAAATGCGTTTTGAACCTAGTCAAGCCGTTTTCTGGTCACTTTCGTGCTATAAAAAGCCAAAACTTACTATAAAGCCATTTACAGGTTGTACACTTCACGGCCTTCTGATCCAGATGCAAAATATCAGCTTGCAGATTTCGGGCATGCGCAGGAAGCAAAATTTTGACACAGCAGTCACAGTAAAAGTTTTCACAGATTATTGCTGTTACACAGTGACAAAGCAGTCTTGACTTTTACTTTTCACTTTCTCTCCTCTCCTCTTTTTTCGCTTTTCTGGCCAGCTCAATTTTTTCTTTTGCTGGGCATTTAGTAGGCTTCATTTTGGTGGGAAAGGTTTTTAGGAAAGCTTTAGGATCTTAGGATTAGATGAAAGGAAAGGTACAGTACTGCTCAAAAGTGAGTTGACACTTGAAGCTCGAAACTCGAGACTCAACCCTCAGGTCTCGAAGCTTGAACACTTCGAGTTTCGAGAAGCGAGGATCGAGTCTATAGATGTGAGGATCGAGATTCGATGATTGAGGATTGAGGATCGAGAAGCAAGGTTTTAACGTGAAATTATTTTTGTTTTGCCAAAGAACAACGTTGTACAGTCATGTAGCCGTTCAGATATTGCACCGTCGATCAGCACTTGCGGTGCGGTGTAACTTTTTGAATTGCCAGCTTCGGCAAGCTTTCAATAAGTGTAAATCAGTATTTTTGGTTTTGAAGATTTATCCTGCATGTGTAATATATGTAGCCTTTGTTCGCAATATTCCGAGATTTTCACAGATGAATGGTGCAGCTTGGTAATTCTATGAATTAAATTTGTCCCGATTTTATGCAAATCATGATGAAGATTACAACATTTGAGTTGTTAAATTTGCTATTAGTCAAGTTTCAACCTCTTTCTCGTGTAAATGCGTCTTAGAACATTCAGCCTTTCACTCGCTAAGTTCATTAAAAAACTCGGCGATTCTGTGGCATATCACGCATTTGGCATATGTTAAGATGTTGATAAAGTCACGAGAAACTATGTGTGTTCTAAAAAGCGAAATTTTCATGTGCGCTTTAGTCAATTATGCGGCTTGTCACACTGTTACTGTATGTAAAATGTGCAAATCCACATGTAGTCACACAATAATTTCATGGAAAATTTTATTTGTAACAAAAAGCGAGATTTTCACAAGCATTTGAGTTATTAAATTTTCCATTAGTCAGTTTCACATATGTAACCTTTCATTCGCCATGTTCATTCAAAAACATGACTCAGCGACTCCCTGAATTGTAAAACTGGCTTTTATGCAAATCTAGCTGATCTCACTGGAAACTTTGTTTGCTAAAGCAACATTTCAACACAAGATAATTAGAGTATTAAAAAAAGTTTCATACTCGTTTTGTTCCAACGATAGAAAGTGACAAGGAATGCACAAGCAGTCTGCAGAAATCGGAAAAGTAGTTGTCACATGATTCGGATTTTGACAGACAGACAGACCTCGTGGTATCGATTTGTGAGATAGATACATGTAAGATCTGGTTTTCGGATTGAAGCGTGTGAATGTGTGATCTTGTTTTCGAGTACGATTATCTACAGAGTGGTTTAGTTATTGTTCACTTTTAAACAGAGACTGTTTTTTACTGCTAGTCTGACATATGAACAATGGAAACTAGTCAAAAAGAATTATGGCTGTACACTGTGCACAAGTGATATTAATATCTTCATTTCTAGTTTGATTTGTTTCATTGTTACTTTCAAATGGAGGCTCAATTTCACCGCTATTACATATATGTATCTTGCCTTCACTTCTAAAGTAAGTTTCAAAAGGACTATCAACAGGAGACCAAAAGTGCAAATTTTCGCTTTCAAAGCGCAAGCTTTGTTTACATGAATTAAACCGAACGAGTCTCACCCAATGCACAGAACGGTAATTTTTGGAATGGGAGGTAAGTGTACACTTTTAAAGAGTGTTCTTTCACGACAAGTTCTCGACTCGAAATTTGAAACTTATCCTCAATCCTCGATCATCAAGACTCAAGACTCGATCCTTGAAAGTTTCGAGAATTGAGTCTTGAGTCTTGAGAATCGATACTCAAGTGACTGTAAACTTACTTTTGAGCAGTACTGGAGGTGGGTAGTGGAAAAAGATTTTCATGGAAATTTTCAGGGCAATGTTACATGGTTTTCTCTGGTGTCCTTGACTGAATTGTGCTCATTCTGGTATGGTCTGAAAGATCTCTTCACTTTGCACAAGTTCAGTTGGTACACAAAGTTGTCCTTGACCATTAAAACTGATGACATCACAAGCGGTAGAAGGGATGTGGATCCCCATGGGCAGTTATGGGCGGCTCACAGGAAAATCGGTTAAACAACAAGTTTTTTGAAGAAATGCACTTTTAAGTATAGATCTTTGCATTGTATTTCAAGATTATTCCTCTCCATCTACTAGGCCACAAACTGCATGTAGTCCCTGCCATCTGTGGGGTTGGGAGGTGCCATTGTGTCAACTGAGAGCTGACTTTATGTACTAACACCAAGGAGTTATTTTGGATTTCCCCACCCCCTGACCCTGGTACAAGATACTGTGGAACCCCAATTTTCAATCTTCCATGCAACAATATTCCTGATCAAGCAATCAACATAATTTCTGTGTCCTGACAAAAGTTACGGTAAATTGTATAGAGCAGAATCCCGATTTAAGAATATTTTGTTGAACGGTATTCCTGGTAAAACAATAGAAATCTAGCGAACCAAGCATAAAGTTTTTCCTGTTAAAACTATATGTAAATGACTAATATCATATCAGAAGTGCTTTTATCCATAGCACTTCGAAAAATATTTTTTATATTTTAATTATTAACCATATCCCTATATAATGATATTTTTAGATAATTTGCCACCAAATCATTAAATTGGGAGTTTGTTTACAATCTTAATTATGAAATACCCCGATTTAACTATACTGCTCCTTGCCATAATATAATGGTAATTGAACTGATTGGAGTGAAATTTGGTCTGAAATCATACATATACACATGATTTTATTTTGGACAAGCACGCAGTGCAAGTTTGCACGACAAGAAGATCAGTTACGGCTTTATTACAGCCACTTTGAAATCGCAGAACTCAGTTGGTATCAACATTTTATTAATATAGGGGCCAGTTTTTTGAAAAGTGGAAACAAAAAGGCTTTTATGTCTCATTTTGTATTGATGATGAGATATAGTCTGAGTAAAAGTGGTGCGATTGAAAACAGAGGTGATGCGATTTAGAACATGAATGACGCAATTTAGAACAGATGTGATTTAGAGCAAAAATACCTTGATTTGTGAATAAATCACATTGCTGAGAGCCAATCAGATTGCAGGAATCACTATAGTGATTTCAAAATGGATATTATAATAATAAATTGTAAAATGGGGTTCCACTGTAACTTAAACAATTCCCCATCCAATAATTGGGTGCCAAGGTAGTGGATGTTGACATGTAAAGTGAACTATGGATAATAAATTATTACAAGTTTGATTCCAAAAATACCCTTTCTGGTTTCCCTTGCAGAACAATATGGCAACAGGTCACAGCAAGGTCCATATGAACCCTTCCAAGCTAGCCCAGGTTTCTCCAAAAGGACACAATACAAAAGGCCTCCCAGAGTGAAAGCAAAAAAGTCCATGGCACTATCAGCTCCTCCTGACAAAGATCCTGTGATGCTGCTTAATGAATATGGTCAAAAACGGGGTCAGTTGGTAAGTACTAACCGTGGAACCTACACTTCGAGTAGAGCCTTCTTTTGTCTTGTTCTTAATCAAAGAGGAGAAAAGGAGGCTGTGCCTAAAAGCCTGTTTACAAGGAGAGAGTGTTACCGTTGTGCTAGGGTTACCCTAACAAAAAAAGTGGGCTAAAGATAGCTCTGGTTTATAAGCAAATTTCACGGTTAGGGTTACCCTATCACCTGGGTCAACTTTTTTGTACATGTACTTGCCAACGTTTTCTGAGTCAAATGCATGATATTTTCTGAATTTCATCTTATCATGACCAGAACTTCCAGAAACATCCCAGCATCTTCTGAACATTTCCAACCATTTCTGAAGACTTTCAAATACCAAAAATGTCCTAAAATGTTCTGATGACCTTTGAGAACCCCCTGACCCATTTCAAAGGCAACAATAATTTTAGCATGTTGCAAGGCTGTACTCTAAGGAAAATTTCAGCTAAGGCGCCCAGACCTCAAAGTTGGTCGCCCGAATAAAAATTTTGGGTTGCCCTTTGAGCTCCCAAATATTCCACCTGGGGTGCCCAGGGCTCCACGTTGGTCGCCCGAGTACATCTGACGAAGAAGTATTTTGTACACACACTAATTTTACTGGCCTGTTGGTCACCAAACTCACCAAGCTTTTGGGTGCGACAAAAACCCCCATGTTGTCCTATGAAGCGAATCAAAGTTTCCGTGCCATTCAGATTTAAAACGAGAAAAGAGCAATGCTGCCGAATTGTTCAGGTTTTTATAAAGAGGGAAAAGTAACGATTTCGGCAGGTTTATGTTATTTTCATCAAGATTTTCTGGTCAAACATAGGAAAACCGTGCTTTTTACTAGTAATACTAAAGTTGAAAATAAATTCTCAAAAGGTGAAATCATTTCAGCATGAAAAAAGTGACGGCAAGTTCCCATGAAAAATTCCGTGAAACGGTGAAACCGCCGCGGCCCCAAATCTACTATTTTAATTTAAAATAAGTCATCTGTAATTTTCTGTTCTATATTATCAGTGAATCTTTTAGGATAATTGAGCTTTTCATGGATTGGGGCGAAGTGTAAACCAGCTCTTCTTTCTGTGTTTTTTGCCTCTAAATTTAGCCTATGCATGCATGCAAATTTAGTTTTCGAGATACGTAAAATGCCAAGACAACGTGCGACTGCCCTGTCTCTAAAACGACAATAAAAATGATCATGATTATCTTTTCTTTTTATACATGTATTTCCTTATAATTATTATGTACAGGGAATAAAACAATATCATAAGTTATGTTTTAGCCTTGCAGACACAACAGCCAAAAACCGTAAAAATATGAAATTTGCATACCGGGATACAGCGACTTCCCTTTTATACAAAAGTAAATTACCCCTCATCGCCTGTCAGAAAAGTATTAACAGTTTCTTCTAAAACTGTCCCTAATAAACCATTCTATCTGAAAGGGAAAATGTTAAAACTTTTTTTGAGAAGCAAAATCGAAATCTGTGCCGCTTGTCTCGCTCAAAGTGATGGATTATGTTACAATGTGAAATCATGCAGAATGACCTTTGAACATCGATGCGCACCCTTTTGTTTGGTACAAAAAATATTTTGCATGAAGTTTGGTAAACTGTGACTCAACAAGCCAACACCAGTATGTTAAATTTTTCTGCTGGCTTGACTGAACACTGTACTAGAAGCTAGAGTGCCCGGGCGGGCGACCGCAAATTTTTTTCAGTCACCCGAAGCAAAATATTAGTCGCCTCAGGTGACCAGGTGCTGTTAGAGCACAGCCTTGTGTTGTGATACAGCTATAATGACACTTTGTCAACATTAGTGCTTTTTTGGAATTTTGTTGGGAATTGAATTGAATTTCATTACCAATGATGTGTTTAAGAACTATTCATCTGGGTTTGTGAGTCAAGCACAAGAAATTGTCCTTGAAGCATGAGATCTACATCTTTAGTCTGCAGGTGATAGACTCACACACAATGTGTAAGAGGTGGTAAGAATATATTTACCACTGAGTATCAGGTTGTGGTGACTTTCATCCTTGAATGAAGTGTTACTTTCCTTTGTTTGAAACTGATTACCATACATTAGCAAAATATAAGTTAAACCAAGGGGGAAATTGAACCAGTAAAGGTACTATATGGATTAGTTTCGGCTGGTAATGCACAAGTCCTGCCTTTAGTTTTGCAATAAGCTTTGTATCAATGAAATAGCTGCATCTTTTTTTCAGCTGAATCACCAGCAAGTGTGGGTTGTTCCATGCTTTGTCTTTTTAATATAATACTTACCATCACCTCCCTCTCAAAGCAAACTTCAGAACGTACCTTTCACTCTGTGAACTAATTTTCCATCCCTCTTATATAACTGTACTTGTACTTTATTCTTCAGCAATTTTCTCTTGCAAAATTAGTTGTAAGGTCGGAATGGATACATCCAGGGCTGTTTGTGCATATAGTTTGTGGACAATATTTTGCAAGCACGCTACTTTTTTTATTGTAGGTAAAGTTTGAAGATGTTCAGTGCATGTATCCAGGTTTATACAAAGCACAGGTTACAGTTGGAGATCAAACATTTGGTCCAAAGAAAAGCTCCACAAAGAAAATGGCCAGAAAATTTGTTGCTATTGTGGCTTTGAAAGCACTGATGAATTGGGAGCCCGCAGAAGGTATGTTGTTTTCATTAATGCTCTAGCCAATGGACTTGTTGTTATTATTTTCTTCTTTCTTTACACTCAGAACCCTGTGTTAAAGTTGTGTCTGCTGGCAGTGTCTTTTACCTTCTCTAGGTTCATGAAGAAGTACGATCCTTGTCAAGTTGGGACAACCCGTGCAGTACCCATATTCCAAAAAAAAGTGGCACTGCTTCTCTCCCAGCATGAATGTTTTTGCTTCTGACATGCCAACTGGCAAAAACCAACATTTAGGGGGCAGAAAATACCACTACTGTCCCAACTAATGTGACTGAGTCTTGTAGATATCATCTGGATCACTAAACTTAGAATAATATGTGTACATGTGGGTTCTAGAGAGTATCCATACACACACCATGTGTAGTCATTGGAACTTCAGAGGGGGAAGGGGTCTTAAATGCCAAAATTTTTAAAGGAAAGTATGAAGGTAACGTGGGACTTCTATTTGCCAGAGGGTGTGAATTACCCCCCTCCCCCCCCCCAAAAAAAACCTTTTTTTGCCGGGTGGGGAGGATTAAGAATATGTTCTGGAACACAATCTCCCAATTTTTTGTAAACATCTTTTTATGGTAAACCCTTTGATAACAAGTATTTTATTTATTTTGTAATAATTTTATGAATTTAACATGAAAGAATATTTGTTAATAATTCATGAAATAATGAAAGAAGTGAGTGTCCTCAAATCTGATTGCACACACACACACAGCTGACTGTTGAGCTCATGTTGTCTTGAGGAAATACCAAAAATCCCAGGATTGTTTAAAAATGTATAGATTTAGAAGAAATGGTTTAAAAATGTAAAGCTGTTGAAGCCTAATGAGCCTGTGATGGTTCCATGGCTGAGGGGGTGGGGGAAGTTTAACTGCTTTGGAGCTTCAGTAAAACTTGCTTATAAGTATGTTGCCTTTTAATGAACGGTTCTAAGTGACAAAATGTGGACAAAAACATTTTATAACATTGAGTACTACTCAATAAATTTCACATTTACTGTGCATGTCATGAAACACTACATCATAAAACATACTGCAGTTTAATAAGTTGTTAGTATGATTTTCATTTGAATTGTTTTAACTTATCCTGCAAGGTTTGTATGATTTGAGTGAAGACAGCCCCCACTGGTCAATGGAAAACACCAGCAATCCCTCAAATCCACAGCATGTCCAGGGAGATCCAGCTCAACCAAAAGCTGTTGTACTCCATAAAGATCCTATCATGTTATTGAATGAACACTGTCAAAGAAACCAGCTGAAGGTAAGTATAATGCTCTGGGAGCTCAGATTTTTTTCTGTGCATTTCTTAGTTGTAAGTAATATCTATTTCTAATCTCATCATGGTTGGTTGGCTTCATAGTGTACACAACACTTTCTTAAGGTGCTTGCGTGATGCAAGTAAGTTAGTGTGTAGTGTGTTGCTTTGCTTTAGTCCAGCATACTCACTAGATGTGAAGTCCTGTGGCTATTCCAAAACTTGCAACCTGTTTGACATGTGAGTTGGCCATAGCTTATTGGTTAGTGTGCCCTACTGGTATCTGGAAGGTTGTGGGTTTTATTACCACTGAGAGCTCAGATTTTTTTTCTGAGCATTTCTTAGTTGTTTGTAATATCTATTTCTAATTTCAACACACTTGGGTGGTTGGTTGACTTCAAAGTGTACACAACACTTTCTTAAGGTGCTTCCATGAGGTAAGTAAGTTAGTGTGTTGCTGTGCTTTAGTCCAGTGTACTCAGGAGATGCCAAGTCCTGTGGCTACCCCAAAACCTGTGATTTGCTCACCGTGTTAGGTGCCCATAGCTCAGTGGTTAGAGCATTTCATAAGTCATCTGCAAGAGAGCATTTTCCTTAAAACTATGATCACATAAAAATGAAATTATGCAATTACAAAGCTAAATATAATATCTTATTAAATTATTATATGAGACATTTTTGTAAAATCCATTTTAGTTTTTGGTAACATTAAAATTTTTCTTCTTCTTTTATCATTTTTTGTACAGATATATAAAGTCTTATCATACTTATAAATTTTACAAACAGATTGCATATGAGGACCTCCCTCATTCGGGCCCAGACCACAAGAAAACATTCTTGTGCAAAGTAATTGTGGGTGAAAGGTCTTTTGAGGAAGGTGTGGGAGCTAGCAAGATTATTGCAAAGAAGAATGCAGCTTTGAATGCTCTCAGAGGACTCTTTGATATGCCTGTTGAAATAGCATTGAAACCAGGAACTGGAAGCAAAGATGGAATGGCTGTTGAAAGACACCCTGTGAGCGTGTTGAATGAGTATGGTCAAAAGAAAGAGATCAAGGTAATGTAAATTATAGTCAATGAGCCATTCTGTCATTTTGAGTTTGAAATTTTCTTAAAAGTTGAATTAGAACTTGAGTTAATCATCAAGGTTCCACTAGTAAACATTATTTTGTAGATCTATATTTTAGCTGAAAATTTCATTCACTTTGAGAATGCTATGACAGAAAAGAAAAAATAGTAGTTCCTTGCACAGGTATGGGTGCAGAATTCTCATTTGATTGGTCATGCCATGGTAAATTTATTTTTTCCGTCAGAATTAGCTGTTTGTTGTATCCAAATTAAGGATAATAATTTCGTCAGCTCTGGTCAGGTGGGCTTGTCGTTACCTCCCAAAGATAAAGTGTGCTTTTATGTATTTACTGTTACCATAAATGGAAGGAATGTGACAATCAATGATGTTGTTTGTTGCATCAGAAATGCATTTTCTTAATTTGTTTCTCTCAGAACAAAATACCGGTATGAGGTAGCCAGTAAAGTCGCCTGAAAGTCATCTTGCCTGATGTTATGTCGTCCGAAACAAGTTTTGTTGCCCAAAATTTTTAGTCAAGTTGCCTGAAATGCGGAAATCCTGACTGTTCTTTAGGCGATGATGAGAAGAAATGTGAATATATCTCATTCTTTATGCAATGATGTGGGTGATGCTTGATATACCAAGTGAAGATATGCTCTGTTGTGTCATTCTATTGTGTGAAGTTTGTGGTTATTGTTTATTGTGTTTATTTTTGTTGAGCATGATAAAATTTAAGGCGACATAACTCAGCATTTTGGACTACTTAACAAAAAATTTTGGACGACATAATTCTGGTTTTGTGAGGCATAACTTTGGGTGAGATGACTTTCAGGCACATTACTGGCATTGACTGTAAACCAATAATTATCACATGTATGAAACTGCAGTTTTCATGCCCCAAAAAGCATTCAATTTTATACATGTATCTTAAGCAAGTCTATTGATCATAATTTGAGAAAGGCAGTGAGTGAATTCAGCAGAAACCATAAGTAAAAACTTAAAACCTCATGAAAAACTGCGACCTTCCATTCGATAATCACCTGAAATGAGGTTGTTACAACCCTTCATTTATTTTTCTCAATGATAATTAATAAATTATTGGAAGTCTCATCAGATATAGACAAATTCACTCAATCTGCCCACCCTTGATGTTGTAAGTATTTTATCTGTTTTCTTCACACTACAGATTGAATTTGAAGATATGGGTCACACAGGTGCTGATCATTCAAGAATATTTAATTTCCGGGCAGTTGTTGGTGATATGTCTTGTGAACAGGGAAGCGGCCGCACCAAGAAGGATGCCAAGAAAGCAGCAGCTATTATTGCTCTTCAAAGCCTGGGTTATCAAGTCAGTGATGGTAAGAGCTGATAGTGGCTTGACCCTTGAAGCCCCATAATACAAACAAGCATAATGTTTTGTGCTATTTCTCAGACTTTTCTGTCATGACACAAAGACTGCTTCTTTTCCTCTTGTTGCTAGTGTTGGGAATTGGCTGAGATTTCATAATTGATCATCGGAAATAATTGGATTGACCCTCTCGGAGGATCGTTGATTGTCCTCAGAAAAATTTCCTTATAAATATTCCATTTATTTTTTACCTTTCTGCAAGTCAAAGGACACATGTTACAAGCTTTTTGTGCTTTTGGTTGATCAAATTCTTTTGAGACCATTAAAAGGGCAACACACAGGTATTAATATTAATATGTTTATTTTCCAACAAGAATTTTTTCCCCTGCAATAATCAATATTGAACATTTTCCTACCCTGCGAGCAGAGGTTTCTCTCTTGTATGGCTTTTAGTGTTTATGAAGTTTTTCGTGTGGCTTGTCTGTTGCATAGTTGCTTTGTTTACGCCCTGTGAGAACTCTCATGGGGCATAAACAAAGCAACTATGCAACAGACAAGCCACACGAACGACTTCGTAAACACTAAAAGCCCTGCAAGAGAGAAACCTCTGCTCGCAGGGTAACATTTTTCCTTAATCAATTATCACACTGGCACTTAAAGATTTTGATAGATGATTGATACCCCCTGCAACCTTATACTCCTGGGAGGAGAGGGGCCACTCCTTTATTTGGCCTAAATGGGTATGGTCTGCTAAACAGGGTATGATTTTCAAGGTCCCGAGACTCAAAAAGGGTTTTAAACAGTTTCACTGATTTGTGTCCTAGACGTGGACTAGATGCCTTGAATGGGGCGTAACCTTGGTGGTGCATATGTTGTGTGATCTGTGTTCATGACTGAAAATGCTCATTGCAGGGCTATCACTAACTTTTCAGGTTGCTGTGTATGTTGTGGTTTAAATTTTATTTTCCTTTGTTTGGGGATATGGTAATCTTGATAATGAGTTTGAAACAATGGGAAGCAAGAATAAAATTGAACCACAACATGTACATGCAATATTAGTAGGTGTGGAATTGAACATCTACGAAGTTTTTCAGCTCTATATTCCTTCTGTTTCCTTCATAAGTAGCTGGAAGTCATGCTCATAGAAGCCAGGTGAAATCTTTACACCCATCCCTTTGTGACAGCCCTGTCATTGACTCCACATCAAAGGAACTAAAATGTTGTTAAACAAAATGTTATATTTGGGCCGCTTATTATGGTTTCTTAGCTTAAATAGGGTGGTGAAATAAATGGATTTCGTGTTAATCAGGGTTAGGGTATAACAGCCTTGGCAGCATACTCCCATGCAAACTTTACTATTTACAGCACCTCCCTGCGCTTATACTATAAACAAACGTGGTTAAAAGTGGACAGTCATCTCAAATTCGTTGGAAACTCAAAGGAAGTACAGTTGTAAACAAGTGAAAATAAAGGCATTTGTATAACCAAGTATAAGAAAAGCCACATTTTAGACTATACATAAACTTGCTGGGACGAAAATTTGTGCTGTATTTATTGTATTGTTGTTGTCCTTGTAACAGAGTCAGCAAAGTTGCCTATGCAGCAACCAACGTTACCTGAATCTAAAGCTCTCCAGACACCTTTAATAAATGGTAAAAATAGCGTCAGTGCTTTGTATGAACTCTGCCAAGCTTGTCACCTTCCACAGCCTAAGGTAGTGGAAGACCGACCAGAAGAGAGCTTAGATCCGTCTCTACATTACTGTGCTTTTAAAGTGGGAGATGAGCAGTACAGTATCGGCGCAGGGAGATCAAAGAAAGCGGCAAAAGAAATAGCAGCCCAGCATGCCATGGCGTCTTTGTTGGAGCTTAGGGGAGTGCAACAGTTTCACCCAGGGGCATCGTCTGATGGGGACAGATTTGCGGCACTAAGTTGGAATCATCTCTCAGCCCTCAGTTGTGATGCACCTGAGGGATGGAGGTTCGCGGGATATAAGGTTATTGCGGCCTTTATCATGCAGGATGGTGAAGATGATCCTGGTAGGGTCGTCAGTCTTGGCACAGGAAACAAGTGAGTCCGTTATGTCCGTGTTTTTAGTTTCCTTTAACTAAAAGGTAGCCTCCCATGATCAGACGTTCTATGAGCTTCGTCACGTGTTCCTGCGGGGAAGGAAGTTGTGGTGAAGCCCTAAGAACGTCTGCGTGGGAGGCTTATTATATATGACTAACAGGTAGGCCAGTCAATTTGCCTAATGTGTCAACTCGCGCATTCCTGTACCACAGCATTGAAATAAAAGAAGTGGGTAACTTGAGACGTAGGCGAATTGATCATTGTATTCCGAGAGACACCATCCACCCAACAAAACGTTTTCCCAAATTTCTTCGTATTGAATGAAGTATTTTTTTCTTGGTGTGTGTTGGTAGGGTGTCGTGTACGGGGAGGCATACGGGGCTAAGAGAACAAGGCCTCAAAAACAAAACGTCCTGCTTTCTTTCGTTGTACTTTTCTGAAACTCCCGAATTTTCAGTTAAATTTCACAATAAACAACAGTCCATTTCATTCATTTTCGTTTTGGTTTTTCAGCAAAGTGGCTGAATGGAAAGCGTCCAATTGTGATACTGTTTCTCTTTTGTCATTACTTTGATTAATCAGATGCATAAGCGGAGAGAATCTACGCCTTGACGGATCAACAGTCAACGATTCCCACGCTGAAGTTATAGCGCGCAGGAGTCTGGTTAGGTTCTTTCATTACCACTTGGCAATTTTGCTGAGTGGTAAAACGGATGTGAAGAGTATCTTTGTGCAGAAGGAACGCCAAGGCAAGATTCAGCTGAGAGATGGGGTGAAGTTTCATTTGTACATTAGCACAGCTCCTTGTGGCGATGCTGCTATCTTTGTGCACGAAACTGCTACCAGGTCAGTGTAGAGGGTCCAAAATCACAGTACTTATGAAATAAAGTTTTGAAAAATAATGAATAGCATTAAGTGTGATGTTCCAAGTTACTGTTAATTAGCTTTCATGAGAATGATAAAGGACCACATTTTAATTTCATAACTAGGCTCAAAAGGCGAAATGTTTTAAAACATAGTCATCAGTATATCTAGAAAGATGAAATATTGAGCCCACTATTATAAATGGAGAAAACGTGTCCTGAGTAGAAGTGTTACCTGCCTACCCGAGCTACTCTGGGCGATCCAACTTTTCCCATATTTCTCCTTACAAAACTTGGCGAACCTTTTACTTGATGGTCACCCTCCTAGCAGGACAACTTTTGGTTGTGACTAGAATGGATACCTTAAAATCAGGTTGGACGCCTTATGTTTATTACACAACGCCATACTCTATACCACGCTATACTATATTTATGCGAATTTATTGGGCACATGTTTCAGAAAAGCTGGGAAATCAGAGTAAGAGACAGTTGTAAAAGAAAAAGCGTTGAGTATAGGGTTTAGCACCGAAGTACAGTCATTAGGGTTAGGCACTGTTTTAAAAACGGTTAGCTTTCAATAACGCAATGATCAATGCCATGTAAAGTACGTTAAAATTAACCGGTATCGGCAGTTAGCCCTTGATTGTGTAGTGGATACGCATATGGATTTTATATCAAATGACGCGGGTTCAAGTCTTACATACTACCTACTGTTTTCTTCTGTTTTCTTTCTTTTCTTATTCAGTTTACTACTTTACGTTGTAAGACTTCTATCATATATTTTGAGTGAAGATGACAATCTGACTCTGGGGTTTCATTCTAGTCACAACCGTCAACTTTTCTCCTTATAGACAGTTTGGTTCCCTCGGCGAGACGTGAGCGCTTTTGTCAGCTCTTGGCGCGGGCAAAATTTTGAACTTCTTCTGATCAGGTCAAAAACGTGCACACATGTCCGTTCAAAATCTTGCTCGGTTTCCCGGGTTCCGCCTAAACGAAAGGTGGATCTGTGCAAGTTTTTGTCCGTTGAAATTTGTCCGGACCAGTGTATGTAAACAGGGCCTACGTGTTAGTAGATTTTATTCGAACGGTTATAGACCCTATCCTAGGATTTCCGGCTTTATAAGACCTTATAATGTACCAAAAAAACATCTTCGTGGGTCTAGTCTATGAAAAGAACCTCAGGAAATCTCAAACCGCATAGAAACTTGGGTGACGGGAATAAGAGTCTGATTGGCCTTTGCTGAATTAAAACAACAAAGTACATGTATCATTTCCCATTCAAATAAACCACCATTGTTTGTTTTGAATCATGTTTGTTTTTCAACAGGATCGAGGATGCAAGTCAAAGTAAAGCAGTATTTGGCTCACGTCAGCAGGGACTTTTGAGAACTAAAGTAGAGAAAGGAGAGGGAACCATTCCATTGGATCTTCAGGATGGTATTTTGACCATCGATGGAATCCGCTCTGGACAAAGATTACGCACTGCTTCGTGTAGTGACAAAATCGCCAAATGGAATGTTCTTGGTTAGTTGTATTGACATTTTCTGTTTGTACTCAAGCTCGGCGCCGTTGAGCCAATCAGAGTGCGACCTTGATCTTTTTCCCGCCCCTGGCACCGGTCCGCTCACATTGAGCGCCTGGCAAAATATTTTCCCGCGTTACTCACCCCTTGCAGTGTTTTCACGGTCTTGCACTGGCTTCACCTCCTTTCTACGGGTGAAACACGTTCTCCGCGCTCTGTGTTCTGCCAGGGCTCACAATAACGGCCGGTCAAACTTCTGGTTTCTCGGTCATTTTGATCAGATACGTAAATAAGTGGTCAGAAAAAAAAAACCATTTTCGCACAATTACGTTTCTAGAAGACAAGCATCGTTTTTTATTTCATGTGTTTTTTGCTTGTTAGGCTAGTGCGTTCAAGTGATTATTGTTTTTGACTGGAGAGTAGAGAGACGTGATTGAGCTACAATTTCTCTGGCCGGTCAATACAATCGGCAACAGTTCAGAGGCCCTGTTGTCATGATGACGATGAACGATCGATTTATTTTAGATCAGTTGTGAAGACTACATGTAGTCCTTTCAAAGTCACTCGAAAAATCATAGCAACAATCATATTAAGAGAGCCTAATTTTTCTGTGATGCTTCTCTACAGGCGTTCAAGGCGCTCTTTTGAGCATTTTAGTCGAACCAGTGTATATCTCCTCCATTATTCTGGGAAAGCTCTTTCACCCAGGCCATCTCAGCCGTGCTGTTAGCATGAGGGTTGAACTGGATAATGACAACAGCTTTTCAAATCAACTCCCCAGCTCTTATCACGTCAATCATCCTAAACTAGAGCCAGGCCACCTCGTCCAGAAGGTACGTTTATGTTTTCCAATATGATCATGTAGTTACAGCCGTAACCGCAAAGCGTCGATCCTCATACAGCCATTTACACACTAAATCCATTGTGCTTTGCCGAAATGAAATTTCATATAGTTATAGTGAATCAAAGTACCTTTTGATTGCTTTGTGTGCTGTTTTGAACATCCTTGTTGAGGTCCTTTCTCTACAATTTAAAACCACGTGATGTACACGTGTCGGTGTGCAGGGCCACACGTTAGCCGAATCTTGGTTGTTAGAATCACTAATGGGGTTATGAAACAATCAGAGCGCGAGGCTGAACAAACCGTTATAGATTTATGATTTTTTTGGCTCATTATTTTAGCGATTCAAAACTAACGTTTATTAGGAGCTTGTTAATGTTTTAAGATGAGAGAAATAATGATCGTTACAGAACTTTAAAACAAACAAACAAACTCAAATAAATGAATAAATAATGTTATTTACTTCTTTCTTTTTCACAGGAAAGCCCTCGTGAAGTTGAAACCAAGTGCAAAACTAAGACGCTATCATTGAACTGGGCAGCATGCCAGGACACTTCGGTTGAGGTATATGACGGATGTTTAGGAATGTCAGCCAACAAAATGGCAAAACCCTCTCGTCTCAGTCGACAAGCTTTGTACGCGAGTTTGAAAGAGGTAATGTGGAATTTTTTGTCGAGCAAATGTAAGGCGCATGCAAATTTGACTTGTTTGGTTAATCAGTATTATTTACGTTGGTCTTATCGTTTTTATCATTGAAGCTATGACCACACGAGTCTGGTTAGAGTTAAAATGAAAATCAATATCCGAATCCGTTTACTGACATATTCACTATGGAGACCGTTTAAAAAGTTGTTTACTGTTTTACTTTGTTCTTATGTGGAGTGGGCAGAAGCCATAAGCGTTTGAACAGGGCCTCTAGAAAGTGCATTCTTTTGAAAACAAAAGGTCATCGCTTTAGTGTGGACGGAAAATGTGAAAGGTTTGGGAAACGCCAACTCAAGCATGACCTGTTTGCGCATAACCGTGCAACAACACGATTTGAGGATAAATGATTGAAGCGGGGGTAGGGGAGGGAGGGGCTGGGGGTTCCAGCTTAGTCCCTATGCGTTCTCGGCTCGGCCCGTGAGCTGTGACGTCACCGAGAGAGACCCACCAGCCAAGAGAGAACGCCTAGGGACTAGACTGAAAGGGTTTGTTTCTAAAGAACCTGTGATCCTGTGTCGGGCGGAGTAGTCAAACACATAAATTGGGTTTTATCAACTGCGTTTCAACTGAGTTAATAAATTCTACTTACCGCTGTCGCTGTCAGGACTAGGTCTCCAAACGATTAGTGTTTCTGGCGAAAACAGCCTAACGCTATCAGAAATGTTTCGACCGATATTTTAATGTGGTCGCTGGAAAACGATTCAATTGGCTAGTGTGGACTCGCATTTTTGAGCACTACGAAGAAAATTTTCTAAAACGCATTTGGGTGTGATAGGATCTCGCTGGCGAGACTTTTGCTTTCCAAGCCGCAAAAAAACTGTACTCGCTAACCGCATTCTCTTCGCATTGACTGTTTGAATTAACAGGTTGTCAAGAATAGCCAAGACCTGGTACATCGCCAGATTCTCGAGGCACAAATATATGGCAAAGCAAAGGAGCTGGCGACAGACTACCAAAAGACCAAGACTATGCTATACAAACGCCTACTGGGGACTGGGTACGGACCATGGGAATTGATGCAAAAGCCCCCAGAAATGGGTCATTTTAGTTAGAGCCGTGCACTTTAGGTTTAGTCATCTTAAATCTTTTAACCTCGTGAGAGGTCTAAACGACGATGCTGCTCAATTGAATGGCCTTGTTTAGTTGGGTTTCATTTGAGTAACCACAATTAAGGATTTCATCCATAGATACTAAATTAGCACCACCTAAGCCTTGTACACCAGACTTACAGAAAATTACTGCTCAGAAGCTTCATTTGAATGGTCACACTTTAGGATTTATCCACGGACTTTAAAGTTAGAACCTTCTCGTACAGCGTAATACAAACTGTACCACGGGATTGCTCAGTGTCTTTCACTTGAACGGGCACACTTAGGATTTCATTCGCAGACTCAAAATTAGAACCACCTTGTTCAGCACTTTTAGCAGTTAGCATCACGAGACAAAGTACTGCTCTGTACTCGGTCAATTACGGACTGAGAAATATTGCGCTTTCATCAAAAGCTAGCTGGGCCACTTTATACAGCTTGATAAACAGCGCCACATGTTTAAGGTTGCACTCATATTTTCTTCACCAGCTCAAAAGCTGGACCTTCGTTCAGACGACGTAAACAGATTCTGGAAAAATCTTATGAGGTTTGAAGGTTAAAAAGAAAACTGAAGACGCTGTACGTTTGAACATGCAAAATTTGGTCATTCCGCTCTCAAAGAACAAATGCTTGTCGATAAGTTCTCAGAAATGTATCCTATTAGTACTTCGTATTTGTATGTAAGGTAAGATCAAAGATCCAAGATCAGTACGTTTTATTCCCAATGCGTTGATCCTTTCGACAATTTAAATATTAGATTCTAGAAATAGTCAAAGACTATAGGGTTATTTATAGGTTTTATCAGATAGCGAGAGAATAATGTTTGATTTTGGGTAAGGATATTGTCTAGAACCCCAGAGGCGGTACTCCGGATTTCAGGTGACGGGGATGGTCGAAGGGTTTTTTTGGGGGGGGGGTTGAAATTTTCGATTTGGGGATTTTTTGGGTAGGAAAATCTGGCAAGTATTTGTTGGGTATCCAAAACAGTCTGAGGATTCGTGGTAGTGCCCCGTCCCGGTCGCGTAGTTTTGCGAATAAAAAACAACCAAACTTGTTTAACTCATTACATTGCATTTGTTTTATGAAACCGGTTAATATACAGGGTTTTTTTTGGTTTTGATTTTTGCCCCCATTCGATCATCCAGTCACTTGAAATCCGGAGTATTCCCCAGGGTCTAGTACAGGACAGGAATTAGGAAAATATGATGTTCGCATAAAGTTCTAAGAGCAGACGAGGCGAACTGATTTGCAAAACCCTTGTCCATTTTACTAAAGAAGATAGAGAGAGAAAATATTATTAAACATTTAAACAATGTTTGTGTCTGTATGCTGTGAATTCCTTTAAGCAAAATATGTTCCTCTGATTTTGTGCAGACCTATCGTCGGAGACCCAGGGGCAGTCAGTCGGGTCGGAAGAAGATTTCAATCACGGGCGGAAGAGCCCTGGGCACCGACTCTCACCGGACCATTTCAAAACGGTCAAGAGAATGCTGGCTCCTGATTGGGCTCAAAAAATGCTTTGTATTACAGTATTATTGTGCCCAATCGGCAAACAGCATCTCCTGAGTTCCCTTCGTGTGTTTGTACACAACGGCTATTGTCTCGCCATAATTATCCGGTTCGTTCACCAGGGTTGTGGGTGCAAGGCAAACTTTTATTCTCTACTTTCGTAACCAGAAACGAAGGAACTACCAATGACTCTGGGAAACGTTTCGGATGCTATCAGCAGGAACATTCCAATTTGCACCACCAGAAAATTCTGTTTCTGACCGACCACAAGGTTTTGTAAATTATGGGTACCCAGGGGCTCTTCCGCCCGTGCTTGAAAACTTTTGTCGCAGCTATTCTCCCGACCCGACTGACTGTCCCTGTATCTCCAAGGATGGTACAGACCGTCGTTCTTCTAAAAAGAATTGGCTTCCGCCTTTGTTCCTCGTGGCTTCGCCTCTCACCCCTCAAGCGTGCTCTTGATCTACTGTCACTCACAAGAAAAATGAGTGACACCTTGGGCACCAAAGGTCTTTGAGGCTTGCGCGGGTTACTTTTGATAAAGACTTGACCGCAATAGGAGACCACACATGAAAATTCTCTGGCACCCAGGGCAACTATTAAAGAGACTACTGGCAGTCTCGCTTTCGTGTCACGGTATTGGCGATGTTCTTTAGAGTGATTTTACTTAACCCGTGAAATAGGTAGTAGAATACTGCGCACTATTCTGCACCAATTCCATTGTGTTCTTTTGTTTACTAGTAGCTATTTTGCAATAGTTGTTAGTATCTGTTTCACGGGTCAAGTAAAATCACTCTATAACATCACCTCACAAAAGTTAAAAATTTTGAGTAGATTCACGATACAGTTTGATGCTAACATATGACCTTTTTTTTCTGTTGAGAAAGTTGACTAAGAAATGACAGTATTTTATGGTGAAAATATAAAGCTCACGAAAATGGTTCCGGGCAAGTTTAAGCATTTGTGTTACTCTTTCTTTCATGCAGCACGCTACAGAAAACGTAGGTTCGGGCAAAGGATTTTTAAGTAGCGTTCCTAAAAGGAGAGTGTCGAGAGGGCAGTGCCAGTTGGCCTGCGTGGCAGACGTTCCAAAGAGAAGAAGGAATTTGGGTGCCCTAACACGCAACAGGCGCACGATATTTTACGTTTACGGACTATTCGACTGAGGCTATTTTCGGAATTATCATTTAGGACCGTTCTCGTCTAATTTTTGGATGCCAGAGTTGATATGGTATAAATATTAAACAGGTGAGAGAAAAAGTCGTGCCTGCGGCAGGGGTAAATCAATACAAATTTAGATGAATCAACCTTAATTGTTCAAAGTTGAAAGTTCTTTTAGGTCTTTCAGGGAACCTTAGCCAGCACGCAGCTTCAAAGTTGAAAAGTGAAAACCACGTCCCAGAGTTTAGGGGTGCAGAAAGAGAATGTTCGAAGACAAATACATAAACATCCGACAGGCAGCACTAGAATAGAGCCGCGCAAGACTGGCAATAGCCATCGAGCACGCAGTCAAAATTTCCGGAATTTCCGGTTCAGCGGTAAATGGAACACGTTTCGTCGGTTCGTCCCACTTTACCAGAAAAAGTGGAAAATCTAAAAAAAGGTGGTCCCGTTTTCCCGGTTGGAATTTCCGAACGGAATGTCGTGTTCCATTGACGTTTCTTGAAACCACGTCCCAGAGTTTTTTTTTCGTAAATGGGGCCCAGTGCAATGAAATTCCCCTGAGACCATGTTCCAATTTGGTACCTGGCGCACGGGCTCAAGTTGAATAACAAACAAAATTTCACACACTTCCCGCCGTCGCGAATTTAGACGACCGTATTCAAGAGACATGAGAAGAGAACGGGGGCTATAATGTTAAGTTTTAACGAAGGAATTTAAAACAGAAAAGCGTTCTATGTGCAGGGTAAAAAGGATAAGGGAGGAGATAAGGAAAAGCTACACGGAATTCGATCGCTTCTGTTGGAAAATCTGGTGTTGAAAAAATGTCCATTTAGAAAAAACAATAACAAGCCTAAAGCGAACGACAAAGGAAAAGAAAACAACGCCAAATTTTTTTTTCGAAACGTAAAAAAATAATGAACTTTAAAGTGCCTTAGTGTCAAACACCTAACAGGAATCCAGAATAGGTTTTAAAACTGTTTTACCAACAATGGGACCTTTTGTTCCTGTAACTAGACGTTCAAGCTGCATTGTTCTGAAAATAATCTCGTTGTCAAATGGGAAAACAAAAAGCATTTTGTTCCTTTCAAAATACGCGCATGATTTGCTCGTTGTCACATCACAGGATACTGTTGCAATAACCGAGGCGTGATACTGCCCATTTAGAATCATACAGCTTAAAAAAATCTTCAGGAAGCAGGTTTTTAAGTTCGGGACTTGGTTCCTGTAACTAGACGTGCTGCAAGATTACTTTAGATAATTCCGTACCCGACTTATCAGCCTTATCCCTAAGATAGCCTTTTTACAATTCTCAGGTGTGACTTCAAATCCTTGTTTGAATTTCTTCCTCCCTTTACGCGTAGCTTTACCCATAAAACGGAGCACTGATGGAGAGAGAGGGAGAATAGAGGAGGGGGGAGGGGGGATAATTAAAATGTGCTCACCTTCGGCCTCAGATTTGTTAGTTGTTAAAATTACTGTTACGAGTGACTTAGGTCACGTACTTTATCTGATAGAGAGTTCAATTTTGGTGTCACTGAAAGAAATAACAAATTATGAAGTGCAAGATTTTGGCCAAAACGGGAAGTGACCTGGATGTCTAGTGAACTAGGCCTAGAAGAGGTGCCACATATGCAGTGAATGGGAGAGGACCCAGGATTGAGCCTTGGGGAACGTCAAAATTCTACACAGCGAGGATTAGATGTACCCTGCCCTATGACGATAGCAGACTGCGATGGACCCTTTAGGTGGCAGGAAAATCCACTGGAGAGTTTATTTGCAGCTACTAGGTCTTGAAGAGTTGTCACATATGTAAGAGTACATAGGACAAGACCAAGGTTAGAGCCTTGGAGATCGCCAAAATCTACAGAACGAGAATGAGATGAAGTCTCCTCTATGAAAACAGATTGCGATCGACCATTCAGGTAGGAGGAAAACCACTGGAGACTAGCCCGTGAGAGAGTTAGTAAGTAAGATCAGATCAGATGTGATGCTGACGAAAAGGATCTCTGCGTCTTGGAACGAGATTGTTCTACTGGGCTATTTCCGAATTCGTAAAGCTCTCAATTGAGTTTTATTTGCGAAAGAATAAAACTTTGCACTTTATAGCCTCGCCTCGAAACAGAGGCTTAGGGCAACTCAGAAATGGCCTATAATGAGGAGAAGTCTTTACGTCACGTTGCCATGGAAGCAAAATTTCTGGATGACAACAAATCAAAACGTCACTTAAAAAGTGGATTCGCACTGTTTCAAACTTCATTGATCTTATTTAATTTCGTTTAATTTGTCAAATGTTGGCG